TACATCCTGATTTACCCGTTCCACCTGCCCATTAGACTCGGGGTGGAAACCAGAGGGTAGGCTGACGAGACCCCCAGACGTTCCATGAACGCCTTCCAGACCTTGGATGTGAACTGGGGACCCAGGTCAGACACTATATCCTCTGGTACCCCGTAGTGCCGGAAGACGTGTGTAAACAGGGCCTCCACAGTTTGCAGGGCCATGGGGAGACCGGGCAGAGGAAGGAGGCGGCAGGCCTTGGAAAAGCAGTCCACAACGACCAGGATGGTGGTGTTACCTTGGGAGAGGGGAAGATTGGTAAGGAAATCAACACTCAGGTGAGACCATGGTCGTTGTGGAAGTAGTAAAGGTTGTAACTTACCCGCTGGGGGTGCCTAGGTGCCTTACTCTGGGCGCACACCGAGCAGGAGGAGACATACACCCTCACGTCCTTAGCCAAGGTAGGCCACCAGTACTTTCCGATCAGGCAGCTCACTGTACAACCGATACCTGGGTGACCAGAGGAGGGTGACGTAGATCAGTAGATCAGACGGTCACGGATAAGAGCAGGCACGTACTGGAGCCCAGCTGGACACTGAGGTGGAGATGGCTCTGTGCGTAACGCCTGCTCTATATCCGCGTCCATCGCCCATACTACCGGCGCAGGAGGCCAGGAGTATGGGGGTGTTGTCTCTGGGCCTCTCCTCTGTGTCATACAGCCGTGACAATGCGTCTGCCTTCACGTTCTTCGTACCCGGGATGTATGATAGTGTGAAATCAAACCGGGTGAAGAATAGGGCCCACCTGGCCTGGCGAGGATTCAGCCTCCTCGCTGCCCAGATGTACTCCAGGTTACGGTGGTCCGTCCATACGAGGACAGGGTGTTTCGCCCCTTCGAGCCAATGCCTCCACACGGTCAGGGCTCGAACAACAGCCAACAGCTCCCGATCACCAACGTCGTAGTTCTGCTCTGCCGGCTGAGCTTCTTAGAGAAGAAGGCACAGGGGCGGAGCTTGGATGGCTTGCCCGAGCGTTGAGATAGGACAGCGCACCTATCCCTACCTCGGACGCATCCACCTCCACTACGAACGGTAGTGATGGATCGGGGTGGGTCAGTACCGGGGCTGAGGTGAACAGACCCCTCAGGTTACTGAAGGACCTGTCAGCCTCAGCAGGCCAGCGGAGCTGGGACGGCCCACCCTTCAATAGAGATGTAATGGGAGCTGCAACCTTGCCAAAGCCCCGGATTAACCTCCGATAGTAGTTGGCGAAGCCGATAAAGCGCTGCACCTCCTTAACTGTGGTTGGAGTCGGCCAATTACGCACGGCTGAAATGCGATCTACCTCCATCTCCACACCTGAGGTGGTAATGCAGTATCCGAGGAAGGAGACGGAGTGCTGGAAAAACAGACACTTTTCTGCCTTGGCATAAAGGTAATTTTCCAACAGTCGGGCCAGCACTTTGCGAACCAGGGAAACATGCTCGGCCTGCGTAGTGGAATACACCAGAATGTCATCGATGTAGACCACTACACCATGACCAAGCATCTCCCGAAACACCTCGTTCACAAAGGACTGGAAGACGGATGGAGCATTCATCAAACCGTAGGGCATAACCAGGTATTCATAATGCCCCTTGGTTGTGCTGAATGCTGTCTTCCACTCATCCCCCTCTCGGACACGCACCAGGTTGTACGCACTCCGGAGATCTAATTTGGTGAAGAAGCACGCCCCATGCATTGACTCGATCACTGAAGGAATGAGGGGGAGAGGATAACTAAATCGTATCGTCTCCTTGTTCAGTGATCGATAATCAATGCAAGGGCGCAGACCGCCGTCTTTCTTCTTCACAAAAAAGAAACTTGAGGAGGCGGGTGATGTGGAGGGACGTATAAACCCCTGGCGCAGGGACTCGTGACGTATGTTTACATAGCCTCCGTTTCAGCCTGTGACAGGGGATACACATGATGAGGTGGTAACTTGGTCGCCTGCGTTTTGGAAAACGCGTGCGCCAAATCGAGGTATTCGTGGGGAATGCGCACAGTGGAGGTACTCTCTGGACTTTCCACCGTGGTTGCACCAATGGAAACACAGAGACACCTACCCTGACACTCTCGCGACCACCCCGTGAGAACCCTCTGCGGCCATGAGAATGTGGGGTTGTGGAGTGCTAACCAAGGGATACCTAGTACCACAGGGAAAGCAGGAGACTCAATAATAAAAAACGTGACTTGCTCGCAATGACTCTCGTGGGTAACCATGGTGATTGGTGCGGTAACTTCCCTAACAAACCCGGACCCTAATGGTCGACTGTCAAGTGCTCTCTCGGATCGCGGCTCCACCCAGCTCCATCAGCTTGTGATCCGAGTCGGCCAGGGTTGGAATGGGCAGACCCCCTCCAGGACATCCTCTGGCCGCCAGCAGGTTGTCCAAACGGATGGCCATGTCCACCAGTTGCGTGAAGGACAACATGGTGTCCCGGCAGGCTAGCTCCCTTCGGACGTTCTCCCGCAGATGGCACCGGAAGTGGTCGATAAGGGCCCGCTCGTTCCACCCGGACCCAGCTGCTAGAGTCCGAAACTCCAAGGCAAAGTCCTGCGCAGTCCTCGTCCCCTGCCTCAGGTGGACCAGCCGCTCGCCCGCCTCTCGACCTTTGGGCGGGTGATCGAAGACAGCCCGAAAGAGGCGAGTGAACTCCCCGTAGTTGTCCAATGCAGCTCCTACTTCGTTCCAGACCGCGTTGGCCCACTCCAGGGCTTTCCCCGAGAGGCAGGAGACGAGGGCGGACACCTTCTCCCACTCTGATGGGGACGGGCTGATGCTGGAGAAGTAGAGCTCCAGTTGGAGGAGGAATCCCTGGCAGAGAGCAGCTGTCCCGTCGAACTCCCGTGGTTGGGATATGTGGATCCCTCTGGGTGCTGGTGTGTGGGTGGCTGGATCCGGTTGCCCAGCTGGTCTCGACAGATCAGGTCCTCTCCTCTCCAGGCGTTGGACGACCTGGAGAACCCGATTAATCGCTTCTCCCAAGCTGGCTAGCATTGTTGAATGCTCCTGGAACCGTGCCACGACTCCAGGCATGCACTCCTCTCCCGCTGACTCCATAGCGGGTGGGTGATTCTGTGATGCGTGATTTGAAGGAGTCAGGCGCTGGAGGGTAAATCACAGTATACAGAGTTTATTCCGTAATCCAGCGTAACCAGTCCAGTGCGCAAAACAGGCGCACTGGAACAAACATGCACACAGGGAAAATACCCCGGCAATATAAAATACTGAGCTCAACCGAGCTACTAATCCTCACAATGAACAATCAATCACCCACAAGGACAAGGGGGCAGAGGGAACACTTAAACACGTGCTAATGAGGGGAATATGAACCAGGTGTGTGTAATTGACAAGACAAGACAAATGGAATGATGAGATATGGAGCGGCAGTGGCTAGAAGGCCGGTGACGACGAAAGCCGAAGCCTGCCCGAACAAGGAGGGGAGGCAGCTTCAGAGGAAGTCGTGACACTATCATACAATATATATTTATAGTATGCTTGTATATTTAAGCTATATACAGTACATCTACATACATTTATAGTACACTTACATTATACTACACAGTGAGCAATGGAAGAGAGTAGTACCACCAGCAAATCTCTTCAAATATATTCAAGTAAATCATTTTATCTAAAACATAATTGGTTTTTGCATCTGTAACCTTTCTCTGTGCAGACGTATCGAACTGGACTGCGTTGTTTGCTGTGACATTTTCTGACATTTGGGCATATAAACAAACATTTCAGATGGGACAAGAATATATCATCTGGACTAGCATCAAGATAATCCCCAAAACTAACAGTGAAGTCTGTGCTTGTGTGGCTAGGATCGATATAATAGACAAGCCGCTCTTTTCACAGCTGAATAACAGGTTGGTGGGGTAAACAAGCCTTCTGTTCAGACGGACGCACACAGACAGACAGTGGCCCTCTGCTCATCACAGGGAAAGACATATACATATAACAGACAGACTACGTATAGCAAACATCTACGTATAAGACATCTACGTATAACAGACATACACAAATCACAGACATACACGTATCACACGTATCAAATCCCACGTGGTGTGGGATTTGGACATGAAGCTAGGGTTAGGGTTGTGGTTGAGGCTAGCGTAGGGTTGAACCAGATGTGGACGTGATGTGGGATTTGGACGTGAAGCTAGGGGTAGAGCTGGAGATAGTTAGTCATACGTTTTTTACCCTACTTTTCTCCTTGGCTCGGCTTGGCTTTCCCTTTGACCCAAGGTGCAGGATCCCGGCTCTGGTCAGGTCCGGCTCATTTTAACCACTGCATGTGTGTTTGTGTACTTCTTATGGTGGCTATGAACATACAGTAATATTTATGTTGTGTTAGAATGTGTTATTTACACATGCTGCTGTGTGTGTGTGTGTGTGAGTCACATTCTTGGGGGCAACAGCAGGCCCTCACCTGTCTGGGCTCCACTACAACAAGGGGCTCTGGTTTCCTCACTGGGCATGCTCCAAAGCCCTGTCGTAAACAGCAAAGGATTAGCCAATCAGCATTTGCGCCTTCTTGTCTTTCTTTAGGGACGACGCCACCAAAATTGACACCTTCTGTTTGGACAATATTCTGCAGTTGGCAACTGTGGTGGCTAAGCTAACCTCTGTGTGCTGCTTCTGGAAGTTAACAGAGAGAGAGAGGAGGAGGGGTCATGTACTAACGACCAGTTTCATCTTCTTCCACAAATGATGAGTAAATAACCAGTTCTGACCAACAGTGGTTTTCTGTCTGGGTATGACCTAAATCCAACAGATCCATTTGGGTTGGTCATTGAGAATATATCACAACATTGGCTTGGTCGTTTCCCTCCTCAAGAGCTTGAGAATGGAAAGGCACCTGTAAATGATTAGTGAGTTTATGGAGTGTTGGATGGATGTATACAACCAGCCCAGGGGTGGATAGATAGAGTCATAGTGAAAGGTAGCAGAATAAATGAAGCTGATCATTAACCTCACTGGACCACAATTAGACATGCACTGCTACTTCTGCAGAGGGAGGAAAGAAGAAGAAGAAGAAGGAAGAAGAAAGAAGAAGAAGAATAAGGAAGAAGAAGAGAAGATAAGAGAAAGAAGATCCTCGCAGGAATCACTCATCCTAATCCATCCTCCTCTCACCTGCCTCCTCCTCCTCCCTCCTCCTCTCGTCCCTCCTCCTCCTTCCTCCCCTCCTCGCTCCTCCTCCTCTCCTCCTCCTCCTCCTCCTCCTCCTCCTCCTCCTCCCTCCCCTCCTCCTCCTCCTCCTCATGCCCTCCTCCCTCATCCTCCTCCTCCTCCTCCTCCCTCTCCTCCTCCTCCCGCTCCTCCTCCTCTCCTCCTCCTCTCCCTCCTCCCTCCTCCTCCTCCTCCTCTCCACTCCATCCTCCTCCCTCACTCCTCCATCCTCTCCTTCCTTCTCCTCTCCTCCTACATCCTCGCTCTCTTCCTCTCGTCCCCTAGCTCTTGTTTCCTAACTATTCCTTCCCTTTACACCTCGACTATGGCAGAACAGAGGAAAGTGATGGAGAGAGAGATGATGCAGTCTGCTAGCACTGACCTTCTAGTCTTGCATAATCTTCTCGCTTAATTGGAGATCGTCCCGTATCGATTTTCATCAGCCTCTTTATTTGCCATAGCGACCACACATAACCAGGGGACATTTAGTGTGCTTCTCACTGCTAAAATGTCCCATCTCTGAAATACGATTAAATTGAATCATTGCAGAAAATGGTATTAGTAAACATAGTAAACATATCACAGTTTTGGGGTGTGTTTTTTTTTTTTTACTTGCATTTCACTTCAGTCTTTTTAGTTTATTATTAGCTGGTCAGAATGCAATACTTTTCTTTTTATTGGTAAATGTAATAGTAAATATACAGTTTCATGTAGTCTAATAGATTTGCTTTGTTTTGTTTCTTATATATTTTTCAGCATCTATAGACAATATAAGTTGATTATTGCATTTACACTCAAATTATTACAGTAGCCTACAATAGAAAACACACATGTCAATTATGAGCCATTTTTTCTTTGAAAAAAGTGTTCCATTTATTTATTTTTCGCATAGAATTTGTTTAAATCAAAACACACTCATATGCAAGCAGACTGTTTTGATTGCAACTATATTTCAAAACCCTAAATAAACATTCACTAAATAAATACAACTTTTCCCTTGTGCTTCAAAGTGGTGTCTTTTTCTGAGCATATTTACATCATAAATAACTTTGGAGAAGCACAATTCAGACTCTGACAAAATTCCAAACTTATAAATATATGAGATATAGTGACCACATTTACAACAGAATCCAGGGAAACGCTTGAAATGTGTCACACCGCCTACAAAACAGTATAATAAACATGATATGAAGGTTGTCACAAGCATTAGTGAAAGGTAATGCCAGCTTTTTAACAAACAAGCATTATCATGATCAGATGTTATGATGATTTAGGCTGTCTAAATGACTACCCAACCGATTGGATTGCATATTGCTGCATGCATCATGACTTTGTGAAAACATTTCATGAATTGTCATATAACTTATATAATTATGGTAATAATAACTCATGTCATGTTGGTACAAGCAAGTGTTGCCATGGCATCATTCTGTAATATTAGACAGAAAGTGGCCTAACCTCTCTCCTGAACAGTGCACTAGTCAATCAACCACATCAGACACAATCTCTCCATTTCACCATCTCTTGATTTTTCCTTCATCTCATCATCTGTTCAATAAACAATGGGCATCTCTTTCCAGTACAATAACTGTACAATTACCCTTGTTGACACTATAACAAGACATGCCTCGAAGGTACACACACGCTCAGCCTTATTAGCAAGCTAACTCCCACCTCAGCCGTGTTAGCATGCTAACTCTCACCTCAGCCTTGTTATCATGCTAATTCTCACCTTAGCCTTGTTAGCATGCTAACTCCCACCTCAGCCTTGTTATCATGCTAACTCCCACCTCAGTGTTTACCTTGTAAACTCCCCCTCAGCGTTTACCACTACACCTGGCGAATGAGACAATCCACGTCATCATATTGACCCTTAGCCTCCCAGTAATCACATCTCAATAAGGTTGTTCATTAGACGTTGTATATAATGTGTTTATCCTCCCTGAGGTGACATTATACCACTATAGACCAAAGCACTAATAACTGTTGTAGTATAGGTGAACTGTTGGTACACTTCCCTTAATCCATACCTTACCTAGTGGGGAAAACACAGATATAATGAATTTGCATAAATGTTGATGTCTGTGAAGTTCTTTTGTGTCATTTATGCTTCATCTCTGTACTGCACACCTGTAATCAGCTGCAGGAAGTAGTGGTGCTAAGGGTGCTGCAGAATTATTATCACAAAAGTAGTGCTCTGGGCCTTTACCCATCCTGTATTAGCGGGCCGAGATAGCAGTCTGTAGCAGAGGCAAAAAACAAATATATTTAACCAGGTCTAGTTGAGTTTAACTCTTAAGTTCTTTGTGATAAGGGGATTCTGACCACCAACATCACTAAAAAGCGCACTAACATTGAACCCTGCCCTGTTAACTCAAAACATATCCACAACCCTATCTTCAACCATAGGGATGAGGTTCCCACAGTGAAACTTAATTTCTGACAGTGCAAATGGAATAACGTAGCTCTGTAAAAACTAAAAGAAAAGGAAACACAAGAAGTAGGATAGGGAAAAAAAGGGTTTTGCTGGATAAGATGCAGAAGAGGCCGTTGAGGCTGGGCTATAGCATGGAGATTCCATGGATCCACAGTTTCTTCTTCATGTGTTTTAGTGTGCGTCCAAAATGTCACCCTATTCCCTATGTAGTGCATTACTTTTGACCAGAGCCCTATGCAGGCTCTGGTCAAAAGTAGCGTACTGTATAGGGAATAGGGTGACATTTTAGACATCCCTTTAGTGTTATTGGACGAGCGGATGTTAGCTGCCGTTGGTGATGATGACGGAGGTCCCCTTGTGTCCCGGCCCCTGCTCTGCCTGCATGCGCAGGTGTGAAGTCACGTCGTAGTGGGTAGAGCCAGCGGAGGAACAGAAGTCCCTGAGGCTCTCTGTGTCATACAGGTGCTCCAGGGCGTAGCCCGTCAGGGAGTAGGTAGCAGCTTGCTTGTCCAGATAGGGCCTCCTCGTTTGGGTTTGGGGGTGGGAAGGGTAGAGGGCCGGGGCAGGGGTAGGGGAGGAGGCTGAGCAGGGGCCTGGACAGCCAAGCTGGTGATGCAGGGGCTGGGGGAGAGGGAGAGGGGACAGGTCTGTCTGTCCGGTCTGCTGGAGGTAGTTTTTGGGCTTGGGGGGGTGGTGGTCAGACCCTGGGCTGCTGAGCCTGGAGAGAGGGGCAGGGCTTGAGGCGGGGCTGATCACCTGACCCAGCTGACCCAGGCCACGGCACAACACACTCTGTAGCACCCCCTGGGGGTAGTCGGTGGTGAAGCAGGGGCCGGGGCCCTTCGGGAGGCCGTTGGCAGGCCCTAGATGAGTGTCAGGGCCTGGGTGGAGCTTACTGCGGTGCTGCAGCCGATTCTCCTCCTCCTTGATCATCTGCTGCGTGGCTCGGATCAGGGTCTCGATCTTGCTTGGCTCCTGGGGGCTGGCCCGGAAGTAGTCTGCGCGGTAACGATCCCCTGAGTCGCTGGCGGAGCCCCCGTCTGGCGAGCTGACCACACTGTCCTGGTCCCATTGGCCACGGTCTGTAGAGGGAGGGACAGGACACTGATCTTAGAGCCAACAGGAAGCTATATCCAGGGCTAAGCAGAACTAGCAGCATGTTATCCTACAGGTTAAGTGTTAAAACTAACCTGTATTTTCTGCTGACCTCTTCCAGGTCACCATTGCAAAATAGGTTTTTAACCACAAGGTTCTTTCCTGGTTAAATAAAGGTTAAATAAAGCAGAGGTGGGAGATCTGAAGTGTGAGCAGGCTTTTGTACCAACCCGAATGAAATCTCTGTGTCTTTGTGCCTGCAACAGTGGAGTTCACCCATCTCCAGCCTCCTACAGTAATACAAGCTAAAGGGCCAGGGATAGGGACTTACTATGCAGACTGTGGATGGAGGTGATGTGGGGCACGCTGCTCTCGTATCCCTCTCCATTCTCCAGGGACGAGGTCTTGGCCAGGGGCAGCACAGAGCGGGAAGCTCCCCACCATGCCTCTCTCCCACCCTGAGGAGCACCCAGGAAGTACCTCCCTGCCTCACAGCGGCCCCGCTCGCACGTCTGGTTGTGGCCGTGTGTGTGGAGGTGGGAGTGGCTGTCGCTCGGGGTGTGGTGGTGGTGCTCCTCAGTGATTGGGAGGCTGTAGCAGAGGGGACGTGGCTCGGAGAACTGCTTGTAGGCACAGGAGGCGCCAAGCCCCTCTCCCTGCTCCAGCAGCTGAGGGGAAGCGGAGTCTGTGAGGGGAGATCCTGCCCAAGGGCTATCCTGGTCCGACTCTGACCGCTCGGCCTGGAAACCAGTGTACTGCAGAGATAGCGAAAGAGAGAGAGCGAGAGAGAGCGGGAGAGAGAGCGGGAGAGAGAGCGAGAGAAAGAGCGGGAGAGAGAGCGAGAGAGAGAGAGAGAGAGAGAGAGCGAGAGGGAGAGCGAGAGAGAGAGGGAGCGAGAGGGAGCGAGAGGGAGAGAGAGGGAGCGAGAAGTAGAGAGAGGGAGAGAGAGAGACCAAGAGAGAGAGAGAGAGAGAGCGAGAGGAAAAATATGAGTCATTACCCAGGTCATCAAGAAGTGATCAATCAGGTAGAAGCCACCGCCCATCACTGACAGATCATGCAGTATCCTGGCTCAAATAGAAAATATTTGCCTCTGTGTAGGATGTGTACAGGACCAGTGCTGTATGTTCCTGTAGAGCCTCACCTGTGTGTAGGGGGACAGTCGAGCCTTGGCCTTGGCTCGGGACACTCTGTTCCTGGGTGCTCTGCGGTTCTCAGTGAGGCTGGGGGGAGTACTTCTGAAGGGGAAGGAGGGCTTGGTGTCTGTCACCTGGTCCAGAGACAGCTGGAGTCCTTTATACTCAGTATCCCTGCAGAAACATACACATACAGTATGTACTGTAGATCATGTAGTTCCACAGGTGTTTTCCTGATTTAACTCTGTGTGTTAAGATTACATAAAGCCCCTCATTAAACAAGGCAAGGCAGCTCCACTCTTAAGACTGTTTATTCAAGTGTGGGGTGTGTGTTTGTTTATCTGGGTATTTTATTTTTTTCAACTCTCAGGATGCGAATGTCCACTAACATCTGTTTGGTAATTAGAGCATGGTGTGTGTGTGTGTGTGTGTGTGTGTGGTGTGTGTGTGTGTGTGTGTGTGTGTGTGTGTGTGTGTGTGGTGTGTGTGTGTGTGTGAGTGTGAGTGTGATGAGTGAGTGGAGTGAGTGAGTGAGTGAGTGAGTGAGTGAGTGAGTGAGTGAGTGAGTGAGTGAGAGAGAGAGAGAGAGAGAGAGAGAGAGAGAGAGAGAGAGAGAGTGTGTGGTGTTGTGTGTTGTGTGTGGTGTCGTGCGTGGTGCGTGCGTGGTGGCGATGCGTGGGCCGCCGCGCGAGGGAGAGAAACAAGGGGGGGGGGGGGGAGAGAGAGAGAGAGAGGTAGAGAGGCTTTTGGAAGGACTTGTTTCTCCATCAGGATTGTAACAAGGCCTTTAACAAACATACAACAGAGGGGAGGCTGTCCGTTCAAATACACATGCGATTAAGGGATATGTCTGGCTAAACCAAGCCCACAGGAACTCCATGCCAGGAGACAGTACTTGGAAATGGGAATTGATTTCTCTGTAAAGCAGGGGTGGACTGGCCATCTGGCATTTCGGGCAAATGACAGATGGGCTGGTCCATTTGTAACCGAGTGGGACTGTCCAAATAAGCATTATCTGGCTAATAATGTGGCCTCAATGAAAGAAATGGGCCGGTGTAGGGGTCTCAAGGAAGAAAATGGGCCAGTGTGTTAGAAATGCCAGGGCCGATTTCAGGTCCTAGTCCTCCCCGTATGGATTCCATTCAATATGATGAATCAAGTTGGAGAAGATGGATGGAAAAACCTGGACAGGGTTTACTCTGGCCAAACAATGATCCATCCTTCACACACACACACACACACACACACAAATGCACATACACAAACAGACACACACACCCCAAGCATGCACACATGCTCGCACACAGACACACATATAGGTACACGCACATACATACACACACACACACGATCTTTGATTTCGAAAACACACACAATCACAATCAAGAGATACACGTTCCATACAAACACTATCAAAAACATACAGAATAGTATTCTCATAGGATCAGGTCAGGTCACACATTTCAGCGCACAACACACCCACACACACCAACTCCTTTATGTGATAAAGTGTTCTTGTCTCTCTGTAAACACAGAGTATTGCCTAAGAAAGGTCAGGGGTCACAGTGACAGGTCCTGGCCAATAGGAAGGGATGGAATGTGGAAGGGTTATCAGTACTAGCCAATAGGACGAGGCAGAGAGGTTATCAGTACTAGTACACACAGAGGCAGTTCAACCAGAGGTGAACTCCTGTGTGCCCTACTATCTGTGTGTTAATCAGTGTAGACTAGCACACCTCTACCAGCTACTGTGTGAATCACCCACCACTACCTCTGATAACAACAATGAGAAAGGGGCCATGATAGTTCTCTGATGAACTGACTAAATCCCATGCCATTCTCTCAGAAATTTAGGGGGAAATAATGAACTCATTATTATCATTATTATTTAGCCTCAGACATGACAGGAACACTCAGCGGATGACATTGTATTGTTCTTCCTCTCTTTCTCTCTCTGCTAATGAACTGAGTGACTATGAATTCACTGACTGACTGATGCTATTCTCACAGATACGTTGAGGCAAAACAACACGTTTGCATATTGTCTCATTATAGCTTAATGTCTCACACGATAAAACATCTCAACAAGATCACAAGACGGTTCTAATTGACTGTACAGTATGTGATTCAATAAAAATAAATGTTTTTAAAAAAGATCTCATGGGGGGAACTCGAAATCTCCATTCACAAATTCTAAACTCTCTACTCTTTCACCAAGCTGGCAGCCATAAACGCTCATCATCTTTATGGCCTATCAATTAAAACCTCATAAACACCGTTATGGATTTGGGGAGGGGGTAGTCTGCGGCTGCAGCAGTGCGTGTAAAGCCGTTTCCATCTTCTCTCCTCTGTACGGAGCAGCCTCTTCTGCCTCCTCTGGTTAATGGAGTGTTTTATGGGCCTAATTCATTTACTGCAACACTTTTACATCTGCAGCAATACACATTACACACAGCAGCACACCAGGAAATACTAACACTGACAGAACCAATAGAGCTTGACTCAGACTATATCTATATCTATATCTGGACTGTTTGCAGTTCAGTTGATAAAGCAAGCGCATGCCGAGTGAAAAGAGATTTGAATGTATTTTCCAGTGGAAAACTGGGTTGAAGCAAAGTGTGTTGTTTATCAGTGCTCATGCATGACAGAGGCCCACACTAAGCTCAATACCACTGACTGAGAAAGACAGTCCACCAGACCTGGGTTCAAACTGTATTGGTTTTCTTTCTAATACTTCAGCTTGACTGGATTGAGGTTTGCCTGGCGCAATAGAGACAATGGAATATTGCCAACAGTGAAAGCCCTTCTATCTGACACCTCAGGCCAGGTTGACTCAAACACATTCAAAGTATTAGGAAGAAAAAAAAATGGTTTTGAACCCATGCCTGACTGAGACAGTTGACACAGTCTGCAGACAGACAGATGGACATGTTGTTCATTCCACAGACAGCCTGCCAAGTGACTTTCCCTTCCTGGGTGAGGGTACCAAAAGTAACAGCCAAGTCCATAGACATGAATAAGCTTTAGTAAACCTGATAACTCAATGACCTCAACACACAGACACCCAATCTACTCAACACAATAACTATTCTACACACAGACACCCACACTACTCAACACAATAACTATTCTACACACAGACACCCACACTACTCAACACAATAACTATGCTACACACAGACATCCACACTACTACACATCATAACTATTCTACAGCAGAAGAAAGTGACAGTAAACAACTTTCAGTTTTTCATGAAATGATTATTCTAAATTGAATAGTGATAGAACGCTGCAGCCTTCCTGTCAGCTACTGTAACATCTCACCCTAATAGAGAAAATAAACTAACAGAACATTTCATCCTAAAATCTACACAACAACAAAAGCACAGTTGACAGGCTTTGACCAGATGAAAATACACCATTCCGCTACACTATAAATGACCTCACCAAATAAATAGACTTTTCCTTTTTACAATCCTGTCAAAACTTACCTTCAACAAACACCTCATCCACTACACTTAAGTCATTTATGCAAATGAACCAAAAAACGTTTCTTTTTAATCTAAAAATATATACAGCACCAGTCAAAAGATTGGACACACCTACTCATTCTAGGGTTTTTCTTTATTTGTGCTATTTTCTACATTGTAGAATAATAGTGAAGACATCAAAACTATGAAATAACACATATGGAATCATATAGTAACCAAAAAAAGTGTTCAACAAATCAAAATATATTTCACATTTGAGATTCTTCAAAGTAGCCACCCTTCCCAATGCTGGAATGCATTTCAATGAACAGGTGTGCCTTATTAAAAGTTAATTTGTGGGATTTCTTTCCTTCTTAATGCGTTTGAGCCAATCAGTTGTGTTGTGACAACATAGGGTTGGTATACAGAAGATAGCCCTATTTGGTAAAAGATCAAGTCCATATTATGGCAAGAACAGCTCAAATAAGCAAAGAGAAACAACAGTCCATCATTACTTTAAAACATTTCAAGAACTTTGAAAGTTTCTTCAAGTGCAGTCGCAAAACCATCAAGCTCTATGATGAAACTGGCTCTCATGAGGACCATCACAGGAAAGGAGTACCGCTGCTGCAGAGGATAAGTTCATTAGAATTACCAGCCTCAGAAATTGCAGCCCAAATAAATGCTTCACAGAGTTCAAGTAACAGCCACATCTCAACATCAACTTTTCAGAGGAGACTGTGTGAATCAGGCCTTCATGGTCGAATTGCTGCAACGAAACCACTACTAAAGGACACCAATAAGAAGAAGAGACGTGCTTGGGCCAAGAAACACGACCAATGGACATTAGAGCGGTGGAAATCTGTCCTTTGGTCTGATTAGTCCAAATGTGAGATTTCTGGTTCCAACCGCCGTGTCTTTGTGAGACGCTGAGTAGGATGAACGGATGATCTCCGCATGTGTGGTTCCCACCGTGAAGCATGGAGGAGGTGTGATGGTGTGGGGGTGCTTTGCTGGTGACACTGTCTGTGATTTATTTAGAATTCAAGGCACACTTAACCAGCATGGCTACCACAGCATTCTTCAGCGATACGCCATCCCATCTGGTTTGCACTTAGTGGGACTATCATTTGTTTTTCAACAGGACAATGACCCAACACACCTCCAGGCTGTGTAAGGGCTATTTGACCAAGAAGGAGAGTGATGGAGTGCTGCATCAGATGACCTGGCCTCCACAATCACCTGACCTCAACCCAATTGAGATGGTTTGGGATGAGTTGGACCGCAGAGTGAAGGAAAAGCAGCCAACAAGTGCTCAGCATGTGGGAACTTCTTCAAGACTGTTGGAAAAGCATTCCAGGTGAAGCTGGTTGAGAGAATGCCAAAGAGTGTGCAAAGCTGTCATCAAGGCAAAGGGTGGCTACTTTGAAGAATCTCAAATATCAAATATATTTTGATTTGTTTAACACTTTTTTGGTTACTACATGATTCCATATGTGTTATTTCATAGTTTTGATGTCTTCACTATTATTCTACAATGTAGAAAATAGTTTTTTTTAAATAAAGAAAAACCCTGGCATGAGTAAGTGTGTCCAAGCTTTTGACTGTTTTTTAAAATTTCTTATTAACTTCTCGTTAATTGCTTTGCAGTGATGGCTTGTGTAAACATCGGGTGCCAATACTCATTATCTTATCAGAGAGGGAAACGACAGCTAAGCAGAACTACAAAGAAATGTGTGTGTATGTTTGTGTGTGTGTGTGTGTGTGTGTGTGTGTGTGTGTGTGTGTGTGTGTGTGTGTGTGTGTGTGTGTGTGTGTGTGTGTGTGTGTGTGTGTGTGTGTGTGTGTGTGTGTGTGGTGCTGTGTAAAAATCTGAACAGGCTCAGGCCTGGCCGGACACTCCCAGAGCCAGGAATCACATCAGACCAAACAAATCAAGGACAGATGTGACTGCTGATCTCTCTCTGCGGTGCCATGCTTCCCGCTAGGAGATATAATCATCCACTGAAGAAATACCAGACACATTAGAGCTACAGCACCATTCTTTCCACTGAAAGAGTCCACGCCTTTGATAAGGATGTACCACAGACTTATTGGTGATGTACAGACAAAGCAAAAGGGTAGGATATACAGTGGGGGAAAAAAGTATTATGCACACATTGTGCAGTTCTCCCACTTAAAAAGAGGCCTTAGTTTCTCAGGTGTAAATAAGACAATTGGAAAAAAAAATCCACGCATTGTAGGATTTTAAGAATTTATTTGCAATATGTGAAATAAGTATTTGGCACCTAAAACAAGCAGATTTCTGGCTCCACAGACCTGTTACTTCCTTTAAGAGACTCCTTGTCTCCCTCGTTACTGTATTATGGCACTGTTTGAACTGTTTATCATAAAAAGAACCTGTCCACAACCAAACAGTAGCCAAACCAAGATAAAGACACAGAACAAAATTGTAGACCTGCACCAGGCTGGGAAGACTGAATCTGCAATAGGTAAGCAGCTTGGTTTGAAGAAATCAACTGTGGGAGCAATTATTAGGAAATGGAAGACATACAAGACCACTGATAATCTCCCTCGATCTGGGGCTCCACTCAAGATCTCACCCCGTGTGGTCAAAATGATCACAAGAACGGTGAGCAAAAATCCCAGAACCACACGGGGGGACCTAGTGAATGACCTGCAGAGAGCTGGGACCAAAGTAACAAAGCCTACCATCAGTAACACACTACGCCGCCAGGGACTCAAATCCTGCAGTGCCAGACGTGTCCCCCTGCTTAAGCTAGTACATGTCCAGGCCCGTCTGAAGCTTGCTAGAGTGCATTTGGATGATCCAGAAGAGGATTGGGAGAATGTCATATGGTCAGATGAAACCAAAATAGAACTTTTTGGTAAAAACTCAACTCGTCGTGTTTGGAGGACAAATAATGCTGAGTTGCATCCAAAGAACACCATACCTACTGTGAAGCATGGGGGTGGAAACATCATGCTTTGGGGCTGTTTTTCTGCAAAGGGACCAGAATGACTGATCTGTGTAAAGGAAAGAATGAATGGGGCCATGTATCGTGAGATTTTGAGTGAAAACCTCCTTCCATCAGCAAGGGCATTGAAGATGAAACGTGGCTGGGTCTTTCAGCATGACAATGATCCCAAACACACCGCCCGGGCAACGAAGGAGTGGCTTTGTAAGAAGCATTTCAAGGTCCTGGAGTGGCCTAGCCAGTCTCCAGATCTCAACCCCATAGAAAATATTTGGAGGGAGTTGAAAGTCTGTGTTGCCCAGTGACAGCCCCAAAACATCACTGCTCTAGAGGAGATCTGCATGGAGGAATGGGCCAAAATACCAGCAACAGTGGGTGAAAACCTTGTGAAGACTTACAGAAAACGTTTGACCTGTGTCATTGCCAACAAAGGGTATATAACAAAGTATTGAGAATTTTTTGTTATTGACCAAATACTTATTTTCCACCATAATTTGCAAATAAATTCATAAAAAATCCTACAATGTGATTTTCTGGATTATTTTTTCTCATTTTGTCTGTCATAGTTGACGTGTACCTATGATGAAAATTACAGGCCTCTCTCATCTTTTTAAGTGGGAGAACTTGCACAATTGGTGGCTGACTAAATACTTTTTTTCCCCACTGTAGGCACAGTGGGACTAGCACACAGATTATGAGCCACTGATGTAGTGTTAGTCCTGTGTGTCATCCACCAAGGACCACATAAGAAATAAGGGTTGTACAATGCTTTCATGTGTTATCCTCTGGGGTTTTACAGAGGTACCTACGTGAGGACGTAGTTGACACTGACGATACAGTGGGGTCTGGAGGAACGGCTGTTGTGTACGATGGTGGCATAGCTCTGGACCCAGACCCAGCCACCCTGCTTAGCCAGGAACCTATAGTACTTAGTGGTCACTTGGCCTTTTACCAGCACTGGAGGGGGGGGGGGGGGGGGGGGGGGGAGAGAGGGTGAGAGAGTTTTGATGCGAGTAATAGGAGAGTCCTGTTTTTGAGAAGCCTCTCTCTCGGTTGCTCGCGAGATTGAAGGAGGGGGCCCCGGTCCATTTCTCCCACGCTCTCGACCCTCTCTCTCCTCGCACTTCTGCTCTCTGATCTCCTATCTCATCTCTCGCCGCTCAGAGAGAGAGAGAGTTAGAGGGAAACTGAAATTCTTGTTCATATCATTGTTCCAAAAATAATTAATCATTAATTAGTGGTCATGTATAACATAATTGGATGATATGATTGTAGTGCAACATGGATGTCGTTCTAAGTAGAACAGGTTATTGCAATTACTCTGTCATACACAAAATATATTAGAACTGATAAGACATAATTAAAATATATCATATTTTTTGGGTCAGATAATAATTTAGCCTCTGGTGATGTGAAACCATAATATCAATCAGATGGTTCAACAAAAAAATGCTGTAAAGCAATTATTAAAGTACAATTACAGTGCATTCAGAAAGTATTCAGACCTGTTGACTTTTTTCACATTTTGTTATGTTACAGCCTTATTCTAAAATGGATTAAATAAAATAAAAATCCTCAGAAATCTACACACAATACCCCATAATGACAAAGCGAAAACAGGTTTAGAATTTTTTAGAATATAAGGTCCCACAGTTGACAGTGCATGTCAGAGCAAAAACCAAGCCATGAGGTTAAAAGAATTGTCCGTAGAGGTCCAAGACAGGATTGTGTCGAGGCACAGATCTGGGAAAGGGTACCAAAACATTTCTGCAGCATTGAAGGTCCCCAAGAACACAGTGGCCTCGCTCATTCTTAAATGGAAGAAGTTTGGAACCACCAAGACTCTTTCTAGAGCTGGCCGCCTGGCCAAACTGAGCAATCGGGGGAGAAGGGCCTTGGTCAGGGAGGTGACCAAGAACCCGATGGTCACTCTGAGAGAGCTCCAGAGTTCCTCTGTGGAGATGGGAGATCCTTCCAGAAGGACAACCATCTCTGCAGCACTCCACCAATCAGGCCTTTATTGTAGAGTGGCCATAGGGAAGCCACTCCTCAGTAAAAGGCACATGACAGCCCACTTGGAGTTTCCCAAAAGGCACATAAAGACCCTCAGACCATGAGAAACAAGATTCTCTGGTCTGATGAAACCAAGATTGAACTCTTTGGCCTGAAGGCCAAGCGTCACTTCTGGAGGAAACATGGCACCATCCCTAAGGTGAAGCATGGTGGTGGCAGCATCATGCTGTGGGGATGTTTTTCAGCGGCAGGGACTGGGAGACTAGTCAGGATCTGCTCCAGAGCGCACAGGACCTCAGACTGGGGTGAAGGTTTACCTTCCAACAGGACAATGACCCTAAGCACTCAGCCAAGACTATGCAGGAGTGGCTTTGTGACAAGTCTCTGAATGTCCTTGAGTGGCCCAGGTAGAGCCCAGACTTGAACCCGATCGAACATCTCTGGAGAGACCTGAAAATGACTGTGCAGCGACGCTCCCCATCCAACCTGACATAGCTTGAGAGGATCTACAGAGAAGAATGGGAGAAACTCCCCAAATACAGGTGTGCCAAGCTTGTAACGTCATACCCAACATGACTCAAGGCTGCAATCACTGCCAAAGGTGTTTCAACAAAGTACTGAGTAAAGGGTCTGAATACTGTGATATTTTATTTTTTTATTTTTAATACATTTGCAAAAATGTATAAAAACCTGTTTTTGCTTTGTCATTATGGGGTATTGTGTGTAGTTTGATGAGGGGAAAAAAACAATTTAATCAATTTTAGAATAAGGCTGTAACGTAACAAAATGAATACTTTCCGAATGCACTGGAAGTGCATTAGATATCTGTGTAAAATTCAGTACAGACAGTGGTGTTAGTTATGACTTTTGTTAATATTACTATTGCCACTACACTGTTAATATATCACAGATAGAAAATTCTAGTGCTGAGGACTTGTAGATAGTAACTGTAGGAGGGCAAAACAAACCTAACTCACACAAGTGGTGTGCACATCTGAGGTGGAAGGAGTCACAGCTATGGACATGGTGATAGAGGGTCTTCTCTATAAGATCCTGGGGCTCATAGCCTGTCAGCTCAGCTACCCTGGGACATACACAATATTAAATACACACACTCAGAATTACAGATACATATGCATACAGAATGTACCCTATTTTTCGCATCTTCCACATTATTTCAGATGTGTATGACTACTCAAGCATCTGTGTAGTGTTTATGAAGACATTATGAATGCTCTACAAAGCCTTTATAAGTTGTTTCAAGTGGAACCTTAAGGATTTGGGACCACTAAGCATCTCCAGTGTGTGAGTGGCGTTTAATACTGTATTTACCTGGAGTCGAGGAAGATGAGCTTCATATCCAGGCTGGCTCTGAACATGAACATGTTGCTGTGTAGTTTGATTTCAGTGACAGAGCTAGGGGGTAGAGAGTGGCCCACCGCCACCAAGCCCACGTTCTGGTAGCAGCCATCAAATGGAGACATGTCCAGGCTGTACTGACGGATCTTTAGGTACCCGCTGCAGTGGATCACCTGACAGAATTGTTCACACAAATATGTATGTAAGCCTACAATATATAAGAATACACATATGGAAATATGCATTCAACCACTTTAGAGGTACTGCAAGAGATTTGTATTATTATGGACTGCATGGGAATGGAGAGTTTCTAGCAGGGCTAAAACTACAGTTTGATGGATTTTTCAGAAACCAACAGCTGTTTGGCAGAAAAGTTGAAAATCTAGGTTTCAATTATAACGACCATGTTCCCAACTATCAACAATTCAGTCACACTATCAATACAAACTGGAATGACTGACTATATAATCTAACAACTTCGACATAGAGAAACATAGCAGCAACACAGACATACCTTGTATCCACCACATGTCAGACCAGCATTTCTTTTCGCGAGGACGCATTTCATTCTCAAGAAGAACGAACGTTCCATTTCATATTCTTCAAAGACAGACAGAGAAAACGCAATCAAAGACGATCATATAATGTAAATACCATGACACATGATTCAGTGCTCAGTCAGGCGCCATAGCATACACAGGCTACCATACCTTGGACAAAGTGCGAGTGGCATGGCTGGTGAGCTGTTAGCACCGCGGTCATTTCGTCGTGGTCAGCGGGGTGGATGTACTCGTAAATACTATTTCCCGTCAGCTCTACCTGTTAAAATACACGTTTAGTCATGTGTATTTGTATTTATTACGGATCCCCATTAACTGCTGCTAATCCAAACATATTAAAGCACTTGCATTACATATAAAACAAAATATAAAACAGTACATCATATGACATTATTACACCACTACCTATCTACAATACAAAATGTTTAATACCACCATACAACAATATCACAATGTGTGCGTATGCATGTGTCATTGCTTTCAAGGAACGTGAAACATAGGACCATAGACTATGTCTACTGTAGCACAAAGCACAAGGATCGATTTAAATCGAATGCAAAATAAAGGAATCAATTTAATCGAAATAAAGACGCATTGTGTAGCAGCCTACCTGTGATAGGCCCAAATGGACCGATGCTGTTTCAGATATGTACATTATTTTCCCGTCCGGAGCAACCACAAAAATGAACCCGTCCAACGTCTGAAAAATACATGTAACTTATATATTAATTAGGTCCTATGTAGACAAAATGTGCGTAGACCTTGGTCTAGCTAGGCCTACATATTCATGCTACTATACAGGTTATTAGATCATTTAATCTATCATATTAATATTCAATCAATCTGTTGTCAATACAAAATAAGGAAAACTCATCAAATTAATATCGGAGACGCGTCCATGACAGCATCGTAGCATAGTGGTGTGTATTTTATTTTATCGGTTGACTGTATCAAAAAGGTTGCTAACCAATTAGTATAATAATAACAACAACAATACAATTGACTTCAATGTACACAAATTAATTAGCTTGAAATTATCAATTATCTTGAAATTATCAATAGAAACACACTAATAACACCTGCATACTTATTAATATCATTATCATCATTATTATAGTCTAGCACTTCCACTATACTATAACATGGTACTTTTGCTGTGTTGCATTTAGTGTTGTTACGATCATGTAGGAACCCCTGTTAACTAGAGACTCATGCAGGAGAGAAGAGAGGCGCAGCGCGTGACTATGAATGCGTTGAAGTTATTTCCAGATTTATATCCACAAGAATGAGAGCAGCAGGAGGGTGGCGGCGGGAGGACGAAAATCACTCTCCCTTTAAAATATGGATAACGGGGTGACAACTGCTGCTGTCACGTGGGATAATGATGAATGATAATAATAATAATAATAATAATAATAATAATAATAAGTCATGTGTACAGAATTTACAATAATAAAAACACGTTTACCATTCGATTTTTTTTTACATTTCAATTATATTCCAAAGATAAAAACGGCGTTCATAATTCAAAAAAGTCTGCACCTGTAGGATATGTGATCCCACCTGTAAAAGATGTGATCCCATCTCTCTCCCGACATTATCCAGAGATCTGGTCCGACTCACGTGGCCCCAGGACTCTCCCAGACCTGCAACACACATGGGAAAATAAGTGAATATCCATGTGTATTTTAATGTATATAAGTTACAATAAAATCGACATAATAATAATAATACTCATCATCATCATCATCATCATCATAACCATACATCAAAATAATAATCTTACATAGGCCTAATATTCTTATTGCGTGGATGCCTTTGAGATGAATTATATATTTTTCGACGTTAATGTGTAAGTGTAATAATATGTCAATCAGCGTTAAAATCAATGATAGCCCTATCATAATAATATTCACACTTGAAATAAATATAGTGTTTAGGCCTATATAAAAACGTAATATTATTCGTTCAGTTGAGTACACCTGATTTCACAGCGAACAAAAATATTTTCGCAATGAATGGACTGTAAACAGATTGGCAAGACATTGGACATGGAAATCTCCTCCACCGCACACCAGAAGCAACCAACAAAACTCGATAAAGCAAATAAGAGTTGCTGTCCCTGGGAATCCACCGCGCAATCCCGATTGAAATGTAAATTCCGCCCGAAAACAAACACGCGCCATGCAAAGATCACGACCAAAAAACATTTCGCATTTTAATATTAACCAAAAATACGCTTCACGTTTACACAACTGAAACAACCTAATTACTCCTTAACCACAACTCAAAAACGCAACCTCTTCACTACAGGAGCTGGACCATGCAGCATCATATGGAAAATCATATATTATGCAGTAGATAATGATTTAATCTAAATCTCCTAATCTTTAGCATTTCATATCATTCTAATAAATGAATGACCATCACCGATAGGCCTAGGCCTACTGGTGATAACGTAAAATGTGGAAGCTTGCTGGGGGGAAAAAAACTTTCATCATGCTAGGGCAGTTTTTTGTGTGTCAATACGTTAGGTTTTAAGCTAATTACAATTAAGCAGGGCCATAGGTGGGTTTCCACTAGGTACCAAAGCCCAAAAAACTGGCTATATCGTAAAAATTTATAAAAAAAAAAAAATTAGCTTTTTTGGTCTTAATTTAAGGTTAGGCATAAGGTTAGCATTGTGGTTAGGTTTAAAATCACATTTTTAAAGAAAATAAATTGTACAAATAGGCTGTGGTAACTAGTGATGACCCCATAGGTGGGACTGTCTGTTCCTCTGAGCGCCGTGGTAATCTGTGTGGGAGCTCGAGCTGGGGCCTTTAGGTTCTCGCACTTGACCTACCGCAGGGAATTAAGCTCTCTTCGACATCAACGCGCGCTTAAGATAATCACTAAATTGGGCATTACATTCAGCAATAGGATCTAAAGATACTCCCGCGACATGAAGTGGTCCAAACTAAACAAAAGTATGCCTACATTTCAAACAAAAGAGGTGTTAGTGAAAACTCAAAGATTAGTCTGGAGAGCCCTGTCCTGAAAGTGTGTTCAATTGCTCGCATGCCGGGTTAGAAAATTGTATTCGTCTCCTATAAAATTGCAGTTGGAAAAGCTCCCAGTTTCTCTGAGCTCAACTTGTTATTTTGCTCACGTGCGCGTCCACAACAGATTTAGATTATTATTTACCTGGGCCTAAGCTCTTAGAAGAAGCATAACATGTTTTGTAGGCCTACACACAAATATATCGTGTCCCATTAATTGTGCAGATTTCAACAAGGTAAAGGAATATAAAAAGCTTAAAAAGCCTTCCAATAAATGGGCTAGGCCTAATTATGATTTTAATATTGCCTTTTTGTGTCAGCAACGCCTGTCACATGGCTTGCTGTTATGGTTATTTATTGTCAAACCATTGTGTTGAACCAAATAAAATGTGAGGTGGCCCAAATACGCATTTTATGTCTGTTTGTGTTTCCGACAGCCGCGGAAGACTGCAAAACAAACCCTTCAACACGTCTCTCCCGCTCTCTCTCTGATATGACTTGTAATTCAACTCCGTGGGACAACATGGGGTGGAGCAAAGGTTATTGACCGCTCGCTGTCAATAACGGCCATAAAACACTCTCACCTCCATACATTTTCATATAAACTTTTACTGGCGAATACTCGGAACATTTTCTTTGCAATAAACGCTGTCACTTTCCCGGGCCTGATTCGACATTTTGTTTTGTGTTCCAATGCGATTTGCTTTGCCCTCCTCGCCCCAATGTGTGTGTGTTTGAACAGAACTTTAAAACAGCAGAGGCTATTTAATGAGGAAAGCACATGGCTCGCAATACGGATCGTAAAACGCATCAGTGACAAGACCCTCCTAAACTGAGTATACAGAAGACTCCCCCATACAGCCACTATCCCCTCCTCCCAGTGAGACTGTAGCTTCAATTATTCATCAGTTTATTTTACCATATGCTAGCGTTCGGAAACGTCCGTGTACTTTGTTTCCTTATCAAGTGTGGAAACGGTGAGTTGTAGCCTAATAAAAACGAATTAAGGCTAGGCGTGTCATAATTTCCCCATCATTCCATTCACCCAGACAAACGGTGACTGAAATGAGCTTCTGGTGTACATAGGCTACTAACAGTAGAGAGACTATTTCTGGTTTACATTTTTTCTACTCTCCTCTTTTATCAATATTAAAGAATAGGCAGGCCTATCTATAACGAGCTTTAGTTGATAGCCTATAGCCTACACTATAACGGAGAACTGACATTTTTGGTATTATCGACAGTAAAAATAATAATTTCAAAACGTATCTTTGGAGCGCCAAAAACCTTTTGACCACTAGTGGGTGCATGGTAGGCCTATTGTTGTTTCTGGCTCATTAACACATTTTGAGGCGTGCCTTGTAAGAGGCTATATTTGTTGCAGCCGTGAGTAAGAATGCTGTAGCAATTTAACTTCTATGTGGTTATCATGGCTCATCAATTTAAAAAATATAGGGGACAGATTGGAGTGGCCAGATTTTGGGGATTTTCACTAGATGTAATCGAAAGTAGGGTCCTTTGGAGAAAGTATTGTTGACATATATTTTACATTTGTATCTTAAAGCATGATTAAGAAATAATTAATTGAATTTGGAATATTTATGACATTTTAGCCTTACCCAGTCCTTTAAGACTCCATAATGTTTCATCTGTAGGTGCTACAAAGCAAAGATTGGTATCATATTAAGCTTTACATCTTGCTCTGTGATATTAGTAGTATTTGTAATAAAACATAACTTACATAAATGTATTTATATTGAAAAATATAAACATGCACATTGAAAATATAGGCTATCATTTTGGATTTGGCTAATTTCTCTATATATTGCTGAACATAATATAGTCTACAGGCGATCAAAGTTCCAGAGTGGGATCTCTGCTACTTTTAGAGTAATTATCCAATTTGTAAGCATTACCAAAAGAGTGAATGTGAAATTGGATTCAAAATGGTAGCCCTCTGCTGATGATTTGCAGGAAGTGCAATGATGCAAGTAAAAGGAGGGCTGTGATTGGATACATTGCCTACTATGTCAATTTCTCTGTATAAAATGGGCCATAACTTTAAAACTAGCAGAGATCCCACTCTGGAACGTTGATATGCCTGTAGAGTAGGTAGACCTATATTATGTTAAAACATTGGCCTCTATTGAAAAAATCGCCAAATCACTTTTTTCAATAGTCATAAATTCATGTAAGAAAATTGTTATTGAAATCAATATACTACTAATATCACAGAGCAAGTGGTAAAGCTTCATTTGACACCAATTTGTGCTTTGTAGCACCTACAGATGAAACATTATAGAGTCTTAAAGGAGGCCTGGGTAAGGCGAAAACATAACAAATATTCGAAATTCAAGTCTTTATTTCTCGATTATGCATTAAGATACAAATGTCAAATGTATGTAAACAATTCTTCCACCAAAGGACCCTTCTATGGATTACATTTCGTGAAAATCACCAATATAAATTTGTGAAGAATCACCCAATATGAAGTACAGTGAGGGAAAAAAGTATTTGATCCCCTGCTGATTTTGTACGTTTGCCCACTGACAAAGAAATGATCAGTCTATAATTTTAATGGTAGGTTTATTTGAACAGTGAGAGACAGAATAACAACAACAAAATCCAGAAAAACGCATGTCAAAAATGTTATAAATTGATTTGCATTTTAATGAGGGAAAAAGTATTTGACCCCCTTGCAATCAGAAAAATGTCTGGCTCCCAGGTGTCTTTTATACAGGTAACGAGCTGAGATTAGGAGCACACTCTTAAAGGGAGTGCTCCTAATCTCAGCTTGTTACCTGTATAAAAAGACACCTGTCCACAGAAGCAATCAATCAATCAGATTCCAAACTCTCCACCATGGCCAAGACCAAAGAGCTCTCCAAGGATGTCAGGGACAAGATTGTAGACCTACACAAGGCTGGAATGGGCTACAAGACCATCGCCAAGCAGCTTGGTGAGAAGGTGACAACAGTTGGTGTGATTATTCGCAAATGGAAGAAACACAAAAGACCTGTCAATCTCCCTCGGCCTGGGGCTCCATGCAAGATCTCACCTCGTGGAGTTGCAATGATCATGAGAACGGTGAGGAATCAGCCCAGAACTACATGGGAGGATCTTGTCAATGATCTCAAGGCAGCTGGGACCATAGTCACCAAGAAAACAATTGGTAACACATTACACCGTGAAGGACTGAAATCCTGCAGCGCCCGCAAGGTCCACCTGCTCAAGAAAGCACATATACAGGCCCGTCTGAAGTTTTCCAATGAACATCTGAATGATTCAGAGGAGAACTGGGTGAAAGTGTTGTGGTCTGATGAGACCAAAATGGAGCTCTTTGGCATCAACTCAACTTGCCTATGACCCCAAGAACACCATCCCCACCGTCAAACATGGAGGTGGAAACATTATGCTTTGGGGGTGTTTTTCTACTAAGGGGACAGGACAACATCACCACATCAAAGGGACGATGGACGGGGCCATGTACCGTCAAATCTTGGGTGAGAACCTCCTTCCCTCAGCCAGGGCATTGAAAATGGGTCGTGGATGGGTATTCCAGCATGACAATGACCCAAAACACACGGCCAAGGCAACAAAGGAGTGGCTCAAGAAGAAGCACATTATGGTCCTGGAGTGGCCTAGCCAGTCTCCAGACCTTAATTCCATAGAAAATCTGTGGAGGGAGCTGAAGGTTCGAGTTGCCAAACGTCAGCCTCAAAACCTTAATGACTCGGAGAAGATCTGGAAAGAGGAGTGGGACAAAATCCCTCCTGAGATGTGTGCAAACCTGGTGGCCAACTACAAGAAATGTCTGACCTCTGTGATTGCCAACAAGGGTTTTGCCACCAAGTACTAAGTCATGTTTTGCAGAGGGGTCAAATACTTATTTCCCTCATTAAAATGCAAATCAATTTATAACATTTTTTACATGCGTTTTTCTGGATTTTGTTGTTGTTATTCTGTCTCTCACTGTTCAAATAAACCTACCATTAAAATTATAGACTGATCATTTCTTTGTCAGTGTGCAAAAGTACAAAATCAGCAGGGGATAAAATACTTTTTTCCCTCACTGTAGGTGTATAGTGTTGGCCAGATATGTGGCACTTGAACAACTCAGTAAAACACTGCTGAAGATAAAATAAACTACAGACGAGATATGACACTTGTCACAACAACGTCATAACAACCAAACACTTGTGCTTATGGAATTTGTAAATTAGACTTTAGATGAAATATGTTCAGTAGGCCTATTACGTGCAGTGTTCCACTTCTTATACTGACTGCATGAACATTATTGATAGGCTAATATCTACGGGTACGCCCAAGTCGTCTGTGCATGCGATGAATCATTGATCACCTGCAACGTCATACATAGGTTAGGCCTACAGGCCTAAAAACAACATTCGACACATAGGGGGAATCGATCCTAAGCAAATTCCACAATGCATATACTCTCGTGCTTTTTTTTGTGTGTGATTCTTTACAGCCTGAGCTTGAGAAGTAGCTTCTCCTCTTTGCCTCAGTGTTACAAGGGCACCCATATGTTCGTAGGGTTCAGACAGCTAGTCGCACGGACGACGGTAATTGGCGCGACTCTGTAGCGGTCACGCAGAACAGGGGCCCATTGAGACCGCGGGGAGAAGGTGGCAAATGACGGCAAATCGTCTTCCAGGAGCATCATGCTCGCCTGACTCTGAAAGGGGACTACACGTGTATAAATGTAAAAAGACACACACAGTGTATTCTTCACAGACAAAGAGGTGTGCACAATGGTCACTTATATATTTAGGCACCTACTTATTTCACCGGCCATCGTGTGCATAAAGTTGCCATCTTTAGGCTACTTGGAAAAACATTATGGTAGATTCTGATAGAATAAATTCCAATCAAAAACAACATTTTCTAGTCCTAGTTAATAATATTGCCACAATTTCATGGACATAATTTAAGAGCCTCAATGCGAAAAGGCCTAAAAAAGTTATCTTGAGTCCATATGGCATTTTTACTACATCTCTGACTGCCGATATTTGAATATATTTAACCAACTAAAATGCAGAACTATTCCATATATCAGTATGGGAAACAACATAGATAAATAATAGTATTCCCTTCACATGCAACAGTGCCGAGATTATTGAATGGAATTGAACCTAACGAGTTATGTTATGCAACATATAGCTTAAATTAGATGCATGTAGACCTACATCTCTCCCATAACGTAAACACAATAATGACTGTAGTCTAATTGATTCCCCAATGATTCGTGTAAATAAGGAGAAGTGGCAGCACAGGTGTTTAGCAGAATGAGAGCGGAACTAAAACGTTAATAACATGGCATGATTCATCATTATAATACATTATTATAATATAACACATTACACATGTATATCAATGAAATGATGAAGCATGAAAGTTATTTGATAATATGTGGCAACATTTGGAATTATGATTTGAATTATTAGTCTTTCAGAAGAACATGAATAACTAGCATCAAAATAAAAACACTAAGCATAACTTGTAACACAATTACAATATTAAACACACCAATAACACTTATGATAACATCAATATAAACGTTGGTTGTTATAATAGCCTAATAATAATAATAATAATAAAACATAACTTTTTATATAATAATATAATAATCTTACCTTCAGGAAAAACTATTCTCATTTTCAAGTAACTTGTTGTGAGTCGAATAATTGAAGCTTTATCAAGCTGAGACGTGATGGCAGAAGGCAAAGGCAATAGTTTGGCCAGCTCATAGAATTCACTATTTTCCTTTTCCCGTCGAGTCCGGGCAGCATTTTTCGATTTTTCTTTCATTTTCAAATAATTATATTATATCGAACTTGGTGTGAATTCACCCAACAATAAAAGTCAGTCAATATACAGATCTCAATTCTAGATCATTTTACTACTTTGCCACCCATGCATTGTGTTTTACGCGCTGGCTCTTCAAATGCACGAACTGTATTTCTCGGACGCCGATACCTTGAGTGGTGCGTCCAGATAACGCGGTAGCTGCTCGGTTCTCCTTCCAGACTAAATCCAGAAATAAAAGATGAACATTCCCATGTTACTTCCAGGATATATTAGGCTGGCGACGAAGGATCTGAGTATCCTGTATATTATTATTATGAGGAGTGATCAGCCATAGCTCCAGATTCACTGTACATGACATCCATTTGGGCCCAACATCTCTGTGAGGAGTTCAGGTCCTTCACACCGTTGCCGAAGACATCATGTCCCTTTGAAAAAACAAACAATATGCGCGTATACATTAACACTTTGAACCTAATATTGTTCAAGTAGAAATAGGCCTACTGATGTAAAATGGTATTTGCACACGTTCAATTGCACCAGATAGGCCTATGCAAAATGTGAACATCACACTTGTGGTGACCATTGATTGCAATGCGCATTACGCACCAATTAGGTTGGCTTACTAAACTTTAGTAATTAGACTAGAGACAGAGGGCCAATACCCACAATCTCATTTTAGTAGTCTATAACTATTGAATCTTCGTTTCAAGGCAGTGTCAGATACAGTATGGAAACATGCTATATTATCAACCTACCTCCGAGCGCGGATACAACCAACCCCAACTTTATTTTTCCAGAAGTCTGCAGCAATGTTACCTCTTCTCACTTCTAATGTTCTCATGTCCTAGTTTCAACCGAACATCCTCAGCAGAACTTAATCTACGACAGCAGAGACACACTAGACTTCCCTCACCTCTGCTACCTCTGCTTTAGGGATGGGAGTGTATCAAAAATAGTTTACAAACCCTCCTGTTTTTAACTCGATCTCCCGATTTCTCCTGTAGAATCTGAGAACGCCCCACCTCCGTGTTTCTACCAGCCAGCCTGTCCCTCATTGGGCAGTAAGTAGTCTGGTTCATTTCCCTATTGGGCATTATTATTATAAACGTGTCGGTGCTTGATGTGAATCCGGGATTTGCTCGTATAGATTCTCACCTCTAGCCTGGTTTAAATCATCCTGGGGACATTATAGAGGGCCATACGGCTAATGTTATTCGTTTATTAAGTAGGCTTATACGTTGATAGATACCATTTTTTATAGCGATACTTTGTTTTAGAGACTTGTTTTAATGCTGGGCGAACCAAGTTTAGCCTATAGGGCTAGTCGTTTAACGTTATCGTCTGATTCTCCAGATTAAAAATAAAGCTTTCATATTTGATAGGCCTAATAAGGAAATGTAGGCTACGTTTAGGGCTATGGAGGAATACAATAGTAATAACCGTGTTGTTTATAATTTTTGACTATGGTAAAATTTCAACATGTCAAGTGCTTAAAAAATAGTAGGTATGCAAAATGTTTTTCAAATGTATTAACTCGGGGATAGCAGGTTAGATGACCATAACATAACCTGAGGTATGTTGATAGACCAGTGCCAGAATGCATTTAGTACGCGGATTTTATTCAATTGCCTGATGCAGTTGACAGATATGGGAAAGCTATAGAGGTCTAGGGCTATAGGCTACATTTTACGCAATACAGATGAATAACGTACGTTAGTGACATTTAATTAAATTGCAAATGTTGCAATATTGAAGTGAATCTTTATCGAAAATACGAGGAATATATGAAAAGATAGGCCTATGATATTCTGAGGCCTAGTTTATATGTCGACGGGACACTTTTTACGCCACTTCGATACATAGTGATTTTCGTAGCAGGTTAGGAGAGTATTACCTGCAACGAAAAAGTCACTTCAGTATCGAAGTGGCGTGTTTCCCATAGGTCGACCTTCCCGTTTTATTTCCTATAAAACAGACAATTGCACAACATAAAATCGCTTATGTCTAACGGCAAAATATATAATTATAGGCCAAGCAGTTAATATACGAAATAATAATTAGTTAATGCATTATAAAACAGGTTTAAACAACTATGCCTATGCCAAATCAATTTGGAATTTAATAGGCCCTGTTTTTTTCTCTGATGTGGACACCATATTGGGATCCGTCAACGGAAAGACAAGTGTGCCCTTGCCAATGCACTCTCACCCCCCACCCCCACACACACTCTTCTTTCTCCCATCATGTGTTGTGTTCGTATTTCCTTCACTTTCGACACGGACGCCCAGATGATAGGATATCTCCTGCCGCGCGCGAGAAAGATAAAATAAGCCAGGATGCGGTGCATGCACGGAATAGTTGACGCCAGTTTAACCTTTTCGTAAAACCCCAATTTACTACTAATTAGACTGCAAATATCTGTGGAAAAGAGAACAATAGAAAATACTCGAGCTTATTAAGTCCCCAGGAAGGACTCAAAATGATGCCATAAAGTAAAACATCTACCTAGGCTACCTCCACTGGGTAGGCCTAATTAGCTTAAAATGACAAAATTCACAGCAACATGTCCTCTGTCAGTGACTGTCTTAATCGACAGTAATGTGGCATGCCTCAAGTTAGACAATCTAACTAGGTTTCGTCTAAATGGCTACACACAGAGATACATTCACATTTCACTGTGAAAATAACAGATAAGTTCATCCTTAAGAGTCTAAACTGGGGTTCTACTAAGATAACATATGGAATTGTTTTAAGATGGTCATACCAAGGATAATTTAGCTTTGATTTGGAATTTTAGGACCCCTTTAGGTAGGCCTATACAAAAAGTAATTAATTACTTGATGAAACATTGAATTTGGCCTTACTGCTATTAGCTCATAGAAACGCATTGACTAACGATTCATACATGGAAAAACAGATTGTCAAAAAGTAAATCAAAAGGATGTTTGTTTTAAAGTGTCTGTCTTATATCTGAGAAATTTAAGATCAGGAAATATGTATATATATTTTTTACCCATATTTAACTAAACATTCTGGCCACTAAACTACTTCCATATATTCCATATATTCTGTTTTTTAACTGGTACTGGGCTACCTTCAGATGAGTCTTGTGAGGCTTGTGGGCGTCCTGGAGCAAAACAACTGCCATGTATGCGTTCATGATAGCCTCACCTTTCTATGGAGGGTTCATATTAGTGTGTAGTCCAGACTGATAATACAGACGAAAGGTGGCAGATCAGTGGTAAGACTTCAGATGAGTCCCATGAAGTGAAGCTTGTGGGGGTAGTAGAGAAAAACAGAGAACATATTAGTTTGTAGGCCAAACTGTTCGGATGATACAGACTTTTTGTTAGAAGACCGATTTTCGGGATGTCTCATGATCTGACAAACACCGCTGTAGCTCGCCACCTTCTACCAAAGATGCAGAAGGCCGTTGGCAGCTGCAGTAGATTGAGACGCAGACCATGCCAAAAATATCAGATATAAACAGATATCTCTAGCTAGCTTAAACAGAAGGATTTTGATGGGGATTTTTCCATTATGCTAATTAGATTTCCGCAGGGGCGTTGACATCGACTCCAGGGTTTTCTAACTCGAAAATGTGGATTATCATATTAGGCACAGCTAGCCTAATAGCCATGAATAACGGTTATTTTCATAATTATGTTAACAGCATGATAGTGCTGTCCTGTGATCCTAATGTGTATTTAAACTAACCTTAATGCAGTAGGCTACACTACCAAACAACATGTGCCTATAATAAAATACACGTCTAGCACTGTGGACTGCACAGCCCACTATTTAGCTATATGGCCTACTCAGACGAAAATCATCAAATTACATTGGAGTCCCTGTCACACTTTGGCTATAAAGTAACGAAATTATATTCAAATGTAATTCAGCTCAAATATGGGATACCCTACACACAGACTGAAAAAAAGTAGCCTGTGCTATTTGTGGCAGAGACATAGCAACGCATTCCCTATGGTTTAATTCCAATACAATAGGCCTATTAGCCTTCTGCAATTCTGGATCCAATAGTGAAGTGGTGGAAATCCAACGATCACGTGGTGAACCTGACCGCTACAGGAGAAGAAAGTGAGTCCAGCGCATGGGTGAAAGTAGAGGTCTAAATTATGCTCACCACAAACACTACCAAATACTTGAAAGTGTTTGACATGTTTATTTGACCCCTGTCTGATTGACAGATAGCTGTTCTTTAGGACCATAAGGTTTCCATGTTCAGATGAAACCATGGCAGAGGAAAATTGTCCCCAGTGACAGACTGACTATATACTATAGAAAGGACATGGTGGTCAACCAGACATGCAGTGTAGTTTGAGATGAAATGGTGTGCTTTTTATTTGAGGTTTAGCAGTAATTATTTGCATGATATGTTTTTTGGCATTGATAGTAAGTGTAAATATAACATAACAATATATAGGTCACTATCTCAAAGTTGTAAAAACCAAAAATAATTTTAAAGAAAAATAAAGAAAACATATTTTTCAATCAAGAGAGAAGTTACATCTGCTTCAATTGATTGGTCAATCCAAAAATCAGAACAAAGAAGCAGCTGGATTTTGTCTCATAAGTTCGGTTCTAAAATATAGTTGTCAGCTCTCCCAAGAATATAAAGAAATACAGTTACAAAATACTAATCATTGAAACAATTTGAGACACCTTTCCATATTTCTCTCTATTTATTTAGGTTACATTATTTTCTTCTTCTTTGATCAGCTTCTATCGATGATTCTTCCACAGAGAAAGAGGAGAGGAAGAAGAGGGAAAGGAGGAGGCTATTCTGTGCTATACACTAAGGATTGTGGGGGAGGGCAGTGCCTGTATTTCATCCAACAGATGTGACCGTTTGGCACACCAGACTGTAGCCCCACAGCACTACAGGGAAGCATGTTTCACACACCTGCACAGAATTCCAGTTCCACCCCGCCAGCCTAAATAAACTAAACTCCTCTCCGGGAGCAGCTTTTCCCTGTTCGACACAGTGATGCCACGTTTTTCCTGCCATTAACCACCACGCTTTATGCTGCTCTCTCTTACTACTGTTAGTCTTCATCTCAACAAAGTCTCAATGAAATATGTCACCCCTCCCCCACCATACCACACCACTCTCCAGTCTCTAAATCAACTGAGTAAAACAAGCCACCTTTTATCTGGTTTTATTTTCCTCACCACCCATTCAAAAGTTGGTGGATTTGGAGAGTAGGCCAATGCCTGGATATATCATTTACATAATATGACTGGGGAATGATATTATGTACTGCAACAAAATAGTTATTCATTTTATTACACAATGTTAATGTAACTTGACAGCCCTGTCTTTCATGAGTATTTCTATTGACTGACCGATCATTGTACATGGGTCCCATTAGGCCACAGTTTCCCATAGCCCATGCCCCAGACCTAACTAGTACTTAACCCTGTATCCTCCCTCCCTCCCTCCCTCAAACCCAACACTAGGCCCTCCATGGAATGAGTTTGACATCCCTGCTTTAAGGCTAACCTCCAGTCACACCATCACCACCATCACATCATCCGTGTAAATGTCCCGAACGTTGGTGTCTAAAGACACACATGGCCATTGTCTCCTCATTTTTTTCATTGTCATCATGTAACTCATGATGATGTCATCATGTTGACATATCACTTGAAGGACATGCCTCCCATGGCCTCAGTGACTTCACTGTTGACCTGGGCAGCGATGCAGGCAGGGGTCACGTTGAGGTGGAGGTCATACTGCTGGTCCAGACCCAGGTAACTGTCACTCATCAAGTATAGCGTGTAGATACACCTGGAGGGGGAGTAGAGGGTTACCAGGGGAAGTAAGAGTTTGTGGGTGGGATAAATATCAATGAATCAAATGTTATAATAAAACCCCTTTCACACCGGCAGCTGTCCCAAAATGCCTAAACTAACCGGGCCTAGACCCCAAAGAAAATATTTGTTGAACCAATCATTTTTAACATTCCCGTACGTACTTTCCGGTCTTCTCGGGGGTGTAGAAGGCCAGGGAAACGGTGCTGCGGTGTCGGCAGTATCCAATGCGTTTGACGGCCAGTAGCTCTCTGCGCTCCACCTCTCCTAGAACCAGGAACCAGCCCTCATCCTTATTCTTAGGGAACCTGGGGGCCTGGGCCTTACTGTCCTGCTTCCTCTGGAAAACATGATGACAAATCAACTTATCAGCAGTCAATCATAACTAACGTCAATAATGTGTGTGAGCTCCTTTATACATGTGTGAGCATGAGTGTGTGTACGTACCCTCTGCTGGCCGGTGTTGATGCGCTGCAGTGAGACTTGCAGGACGTACTCCTGGTCAGCGTGGACATCCAGCCAGCTTTTGTCGTCCCTGAGCTTCCCCCCGGCCGCAGGGAGGGGGCGCTCTGTCTGCTCCCCACACCCCTCCCACCAACCCTTCACACTCAGACGCACCTCCATCACCGGCAGATGGCTGAGGAATGACCAGGCCTGGAGGAGGGGAGGGGAGAGGAGAGGAAGGAGGGCAAAGGAAGGGATGGGGGATAATAAGAGAGAAACAGAGAGGGGTGCAGAGAAATGAGAGAGGGAGAGAGAGACAAGGAAATGTGTCAGACCGGAGTGCAGAGAGAGAGAAAAGAGGAGGGAGAGAGTGTGGGGGAGAGAGAGAGGAGTCAGACTTAAGTGAGAGCCTTGTATAAGATGGACATATCTATCTGCTAAGACTAGAGCGTTTGATGAAAGCTTGATTCATTCAAACACACATAATTCCCATGGTCTTAGGTGCCTCTTAAAGCTTTGTCATGGTGACTTTAACATCTGACTCGAATGGAGAAGAAAACACAAATCCAAAAGGGGATAGAGAGCAAGCGAGATAGAGGAAGGTAGAGATAGAGAGAGAGTATGGGTGATAGGTGTGTGAATGTGTGTTTTCCTCCTGAAGACCCTGTCAGTGTCAGGGACTGGGATGGGAGAATGAGAAAAGCCTCTCAGACTCACCCAACAAAAGCTATTTATGTAAGGATTACTGTCCCCCGTAGAATCAGACTGGGACACTGCCACGCATCTAGTTATTTAATTAGCCAGGCCGCAACACCATGGGGGGAGAGTGTGTGGAGGGGCTGGGTGAAGGGGGAGCGGGGACACTGATTGGGTAAGGCCGCTGGGCTGGCAGTGGCGCCTGGACGTTCTCATTACAGCTGCAATTAGCACTTAGATTGGTGCTGTAAACCCTCTCATTGGATCGTAATAGGAGATCCTGGAGGTACCTTGGACCACTGGGACAGACTGATGCTTCTCACTGTGTGTGTGTGTGTGTGTGTGTGTGTGTGTGTGTGTGTGTGGGCTGACGTTGGTAGAGTGTGTGTATATGTTGTTTGGTAGTGCTCTGGTAGCGAATGTGAGAACGTTACATGAATAGAGAGATGAGGCCGACACCTTGGAAGGACAATGGAGACGGGAGGGTTCATGGTGAAGCGTATATGTACCCCTAGAAACCCTCTATTTCTATAGGAAAGTGACACTTTAACGGTGAGGTGAGGTGAAGGAATGCAGAATGTTAGAAGGTTGTTACCTGGGAGATCTGATGGGGCTGAAGCACCTCCCCCACGATGGCAGCGAAGGTGTTCTCCCGCCCCTCGCAGGTGGCAATCAGCTCAGGGAGCCCTTCTATTGGTCCGTGGAAGCCCCTGGCTCCGCCCCTCCCTCCCTTGGAGCTCCACCTGCTGCGGGGAACAACAGGGGGCAGATCTAGTCATGTGATTTTAAAATCCTAACCACACTTCCTGCTGTCTCTGGAACCTCAGTCCTCTCTCATCCCTCTATCCCTTTCTCCTTACTATATTTATTGAGTTTTCACAAAATTATTCTTCACTGCAGGAAGCAGCGTCTCAAATCCACATGGTGTGTATGTAAAAATAATTAAAATTGCTTTGGACACTCACTCTTGAATTTCCTCTCTCTCTCACATTTACATTTACATTTTAGTCATTTAGCAGACGCTCTTATCCAGAGCGACTTACAGTTAGTGAGTGCATTCATTATTATTATTTATTTTTTCATACTGGCCCCCCGTGGGAAACGAACCCACAACCCTGGCGTTGCAAACGCCATGCTCTACCAACTGAGCTACATCCCTGCCGGCCATTCCCTCCCCTACCCTGGACGACGCTGGGCCAATTGTGCGCCGCCCCATGGGTCTCCCGGTCGCGGCAGGCTACAACAAAGCCTGGATTCGGGAGTACTGTTTCAATTATGATTAACCTCTAAACTATACTGCTATCGCCAAATGCACAGAGCATAAAAATATCAAAATGCATTTCTCCACCAAGTCAGCCTCGCCTAGGCCCAATGGCTCCCTACAGTCTACATTACAACCATTGTTTAGGATGACGTGAAAATCTATGCATGACACCAAAGAACCATTGGGCCCAAACGAAACCAACCTAGTGGAGAAACACACCTTCACACCTTTACACATTTACTCTGTGCATTTAACAATAGCAGTACAATTTAGAAGCCAATCATAATAGAAACAGTTTGGCATGACAATGCACCACTACATGAACCAGAAACCATATATAAATAGAAACATAATGTCTCTTAGAAATTGCAACTCCCAAACATTCCAATCCATGTTTACTTTTCACAAAAATCTCTTTCAAATAGTAAATATCCTCAACAGGTTTTATAAAATGCACAGTGGTTGCATTTCATCTGCTACTACAGAACACTTACTTAGCAATATAAAAATCATAAAACAAACAAGAAAAGCGCCATGTGTCAGACAGCATGAAAGCCATTATACACACACTCTTTCACACAAACACCTCTAAAAAAATGTAAAAACAGTAACACTCAATTATCATGATAATCATTTAAAAGATATTAATCAAAACAAAAATGAGGGAACAAACATGATGCCCAAAACTAATTGCTGTTGTTCTTAGTCCAGATAAAACACAGGTGTATGACAGATGGGTTTAACAACGGCTTACATCTTTTGGTTAGTAGGTCAGTCATTCCAAGCGTGATGTGTGCCTTGAACATCCTAACACAACCCAAAAATGGCAAATGCTGAACAATCAGTGGGACATCTCAGCTCACCTGTTAAAAATCCTGCAAGAAATTCCTCACCCGTCTTTCTCACATTCTAAAAACACTCCAAACTCATGATCTAAATTTCACACCCAACCTCAAACCAACAAAAACCCTTGACCAAATTCTAATTCTTTAAAATCCCTCTCTGATTCTTCGTCCCCTCCCCAATCCCTTTACAGAAAACCCCTCCTTCCCCATTCTGAATTATCTCTTGCTGCGGCCCGCTGCCTCTTTCTCCTCCTCCTCCGGGTGGCTGCTCTGCTGATGGGCCTTCAGGTTGCTCTCTCGGCCAAAGCTCTTGCCACAGGTAGGGCAGGCGTAACGCCCCTTGGTGTGTGCCCGGTTCTTGTGGGCTTCTAGCTGCTCGGCACGGGCAAAGCTCTCCTCACACTCCTCGCAGGGGTGGGCCTTACGTGGGGTGTGCTTTTCCTTCTTGTGGGCGCGGAGCTGGGCCAGGGCATGGAACGTGAGCTCACACTCAGGGCAGGGGTGCTGCTTGGGTGGAGCGGGAGCCGCCTTGGGTTTCTTCTCCTCTGCTGGGACTTCACTGTCGTCTTCTCTGGCCTCCTCGCCTGCTGTTGCTTTAGGACGACCCCGTCTGCCGCCGGCTGCTGCTTTCCCCTTGGTCTCAGCCGGAGCTGCTGCAGCCTCCTCTGCATTGTTTCCAGTCTCAGCCTCCTCTGTCCCCTCTTCCTTCTTCTTCCTCCTCTTCCCTTTCTTCTCTCCGACCGCTGTGTCCTCTGCTTTAATGGGCCGTCCGCGCTTCTTGGCTGGCGAGGCGCCGCCGTTGCAGTGCTGGTCACCGGCGTGGTTCTCCTGGTGCATTATTAGCTCAGACTCCGTTTCGAAGCCCCGGTTGCACTTCCCACAGCGGTGCGTCTTGGTAGGGTCATCTGGCTCTTCCACCTCTGCCTCTGGACGGGGGTGCTGGGCCAGGCGGTGGGTACGAAGGAGGGCAGGGCTGCGGAAGGTCTCACTGCAGTCCTTACATACAAACTGCCTCTCTGGACAGACCTGTCTCCTGTGGGTCGTCAGCTCAGAGAAGGTGCGGAAGCTCTCCTGGCAGTGGGGACACTTGAAGGGCTTGTCCTCCTTGTTGTGAGCCTGGTGCTGGGTAGCTCCTCGAGGACGGAAGGTCCGGTCACACACATAAAGGGAACAGAGTACTCCTGGGAGCTGCTTGTATCCTGCGATGGCTCTCTTATTGCCTCTCCTTGGTGGTTCAGATGTGTGAAGCACTGGAAACACCGGTTCTCATGCTGAGGTGATGTGGGTGGGAGGGGCCTTGAAGGAGCTGTAGTTTCAGTGGTCAGTTCTGCAGGGGGTACCGTGCCCTTCCCATCACTATCTCCTCTATATTCAATGTAGTCCACGTGGGGAGTGTCTCAAACGCTTCCGTACAGTGAGGAAGTCTGTTCGTTGTGTGTGTTAGTGTGTGTGCGCGCGTGAGCAGCCCTGAGGTTAGCAGAATGTAACTGATGCTGCTTGATGATAATAATGTTTGCAGAGTTTGATAGTGTCTGTGGATTATAAAATGGTCCATGTCATAGTGTTAATTAGAGAGTCCTAGCACCATTCTCATTGTGTGTGTGTGTGTGTAATGTCGTTTACCTGAACAGGTAGAGGTGTTGCTGCTCTATGGTAGGTAGGGTCAGTATAGAGGAGTCATTGAGCCACCTGCCCTGAACGATCATCTGCACCAGGTTACAGATGCTGAGAGCAGTCACCAGCCAGCCCTCGTTGGCTGCTACGTCCAGCATGGCCTGTAGAGATGCACACACCCACACACATGCACAGACAGATAGACAGACATACAGGAACTACTTTAGTTGAAAAATGTGCGCATTTATATAACTATATAAAATCCCCCACTGACATCAGTGTGAGATTCACTCACACTGAGTTACATTACGATTGAGCCCATTTTGCACACTCAAATTCAGCATGTCTTTACACATTCATGCACATATGCTAAACAGCTGAAAAGTACAAATTGGCTATATTGCTTTTTGGTGTTGCTTTTTTGTGTTAATTTAAGGTTAGGGTTAGGCATTAGGGTTAGCAGTGTGGTTAAGGTTAGATTTAAAATCATATTTTATGACTTTGTGGCTGTGCCAGCTAGTGACCACTCTGCAGAGCTTCATGACGAAAAACGCTAACCTGCTCCCTCCCTCGTAAGGTTAGAGTTTGCCGAGCTACGCTGCATTCTAACAAACTCAATTAATCAGAAAGTAATTCCCCGGCAATAACTATGACTAAAGAGGACCTTGAGTGCACAGGCGAAGTCCCGGCAGAGTTAATCAAAATGCTAATGCAGTACAAATTAAAGTAGTAGTGATTAACATTTCACGGAAGCTGAAGAAGCAAATGGATGATGACAGAACTACGGCTGATGTCACTGGAGTCCTGTTAGCTGGGCCATATACATTAGGCACCAAATGGAAGAAAACGGACTGAAACATCAGTCCAAAAAGAGACGCTTGATTTCATTTTCCGTTGCAAAACGTTTTGCTCTAATGAATACGATACCCTCGCCACATGAGGAGGAGAAAAGCTCTGTTAGCCTGGCCTGGCACAGCAGGAAGCCAGAAAAGTAACCACATGGACAAGCAATGGACAATCACTACCAGACACACACACAGTCAGCGCTTCGTAGATCATCCCCCACACATACAAAGGCAGAAACAATGGCTTACAGATCCAGATCCAGATCCTACAGCCAGACATGGACCAAATCTCTCCCAGGCATGGCCAATCACCAGCAGACCTGGGATCTGGTGGCCAGGGCACTTGGTGGGCAGGCCTGGTTGTTAGGGGCAATCCCTGAGAAAGCTCTTTTTAAGAGGAGCTACAACTAATCTCCACACCTCAACAGCCTCCTGAGTGACAGGGCCTACTGCCGGTCAGGATCCACATTATGTGTGTGTGTATTCTTAGAGTGTGTGTGTGTGTATTGTGTGTGTGTACTGGAACTATCAGCAGTAAGTGTGTGGTTGGTGGTTAGGTTAGTGGCAGACAGTGCAGTCTGTGGTGTTAAAGCCGTGCTGTCCCCGTGAGGTGGGGTTCCACCGCCAGGTTGTCATGTGGTCAAACCTGACTGTGGTCCTCATCTCCCTCAACACTTTCATGCAAAGAAGCCAGAGACCCAAAAGAGATACAGTATTTGTCTTTGTCTTTTAAAAAGGCAAAATATACAGATCAATTATCACATTGAAATGGAAATAGTTTGAATACAAGTTAACAAATGATAATTTCTATTATTTGAAAAGACTGTCAGGCATTCTGTTTACCAGTGCCCTCCAAGGCACCTCCATAACATGTCTATGCCCAGGGCTCTAAAGTGCAACCATTTGGTGGCACATGCTCCTGGATAATTAGTTGTGCGATCTGACATTTTATTTTGGGAGCACCAGTGCGACCAGGAAAAAAAATAATCACCCAGATAATAATGGTTGTAGTGATAGGCTTCACTGTGCAGCTGTTTCCGAGTGCCCTAGAGAAAAAAGCCAGCGCAGATTCGTTCAATCCAAAGCCTATTCGTTCAATCCAAAGTAAAGAATATTAAAGAATGCATGGGAATGCCCGTGTGCACTGTCCACCACTTTGTGTAGCCAGTTAGCGATGCAGAATCAGTCATTTCTAAAGGCTATCCCATAAAACTTTCCAAATTAAATGTTAACTGCAAAATAGGAAAAAGTACTGAGTACTGGTGCTCTGACTGACACATGGAAATGTGCTCAGGGTCTGAATCCCAGGGCTGAGAGAGGATCCATTCTGGGATGTATGAAAGCAAGCTGTTCTTTTTGATGGGAACAAAAGCACAAGAAAACAGAGGAAGTATTTCAGAGGTGCACTGTTCAGAAAGGGGCAGGGCGGTGGATGAACCCAGAGGGATGTAGTGTTTGGTACTGTACATAAACCTACACAGCAGATCTTCCACTAACCTGACAGATGCGTATGGTGTTGTCCAGCACGGTCTTGGTGTCGGTGCCGTAGTCGGAGCAGGGCAGCTGGGCGCGGCTGAAATGGGCCTGCAGCAGCAGGTGTGTCTTGGTGTGGGCGCTGTCGTAGCTGTGGGGGTTGACCTGCAGGGGGAGACGCTGAGCCAGCTCACTGTTCAGCTGGTCCTCGTTGTGCCTGACAGGCAGCTCCCCGTACTCCTCAGCATCCTGAAGAAGAGAGTGAGGAAGGGAAGGGGGGAGGGAGGGAAGGAGGGAGGGAGGGGGAAAGGAGGGAGGGAAGGAGGGAGGGGAGGGGAGGGGAGAGGGGGAGGGGAGGGGAGGGGGAGAGAGAAGAGAGAGGGGGATATAGAGAGAAAGAGAGAAGGAGAGATGGAAGGAGAGAGATCAAAGTCAGCGAGGAGGAAGTCAGTTCCCTGCTGTGGTTCTGTGGTTAAATCCTTTGTTTCAGTCATCTCTGTTAAAACAGCTGCATCAGGATCACTGGCTCCCCTCACCCAAGAGAGCAGTTCCCCAAAATTATATTTAAGAGCAAAACCTCTAAGCGAATGAAGAAACCTTAAGTTATAACTGTCCACACCTGCTCATAAAATCCTACAAAAAGTCAGCAACTACACAGCAATTTTCCACAATGTAAAGTTTTATTTTTTAATACAATGTACAGTGGTGGTTCCCTTTCATATGGTTAGAGTGTGTGCTAAACTGTCTAAATGTCTACCCACATCTCTATTCCTCACTCCTCATAAGATATGTATAGGCTATATAAACGATTTGGTGTGATATAAAACGATGATGCGTTTTCAATCGGGCTGTGTTCAGTGCTGACGGTGTGTTCTGTGTGGAGGCTTGTTTGTGGGGTTTCAGGGGAGACAGAGATGCATGGACACGCATGGCTCTTTTTCTGTGTTTCTCTAATTCACTGCAGTACGTTAAGTTTCGCTAACGTACTTCATCAACAGAGGACCAGCGGAGACATTTATCATTGGGCCTACCCTGCTCTGGACTGTTAAGGTTCCATCCGTCACCAGAGAGATGCAGCGTTAGAAAAGAGGGGGATTGAGGAACAGAGGGAATGATGAGGGGAAAAAAGGGGAATAAAATGATTGATATGGCAGTGGTTTAGTGTCTGCATGCAGATGTGCAGGAGATAAATACAATATATCTTTATACAGAGATCCTCATAACACACTAACTGCTAACTCCCCTACTCACTCACTCCATCCAGCAATCCATCCCTGCCTCCCTCCCTCCATCCATCTCTCCCACAGACGTTCTCTTTAGTGACATTTACAGACAGGGAGGGATGGAATGGGGGAGGCAAAGGTTGGAAAGAGCAGGAGAGAAAGAGAGAAAGAGCAACATACTTTTTTCACATACTCTTTCAGTGTGTGTGTGTGGTGAACGTAGTAGGTCACTTGTGAACTTTAAGAAGAGGAAATAGTAGAGCTTCAGGTCCTTTGTGTTCAACAGGGGGAGGGGTCTGGCTGGGGGGGGAGTGGACAAGGGACGGGGGCGGGGAGGGATCTTGCTGGGGGGAGTGGACAAGGGACGGGGGGGTGTAGGGTCTGGCTGGGGGCGTTGTAGGTGCAAAAGAGGGGAAGAAAATGTCTCAATCTTTTCTGCATTTTCAACACATTTCTTTCCCAACACTTCCTATCTAACCTTTGATCCTTCACCCTCCCCCTCGTCTAAATGTCTGGGTGAGACCCATAATGGGGGGGTATTAGAGGGTGGAGGGGGCACGACGGGCTATCTGACACAGCTGCGATGTCGCCGGGTGACCCCCACGGAGGTGTGAAACCGCTTTGTGTCCTAATGATCCCACCAATTAGCAGCAACCAATCAGCAGCCTCACTAGGAATAACAGACTAAAACAGGGAACAGAGGGAGAGGAGGAATAGGTACTCACTATTAACTGGGAAGAAGAGAGAAGAAAACCAGTGGAGGAGAACAAAGACATAGAGACCCAGGAGTGATGAGGGGAGTTAATGAGGCCCAGATAAAGAGGTGTTTATTTGACAGAACTGAGACCCTGACCCATCATGGTCATCTAGCTATCCTCCTGTCCAGTAGTCTATCCCCCTCTCACTCAATGTGAACACAATGGGAGAAGTACATGTAGAACCACAGTAGTATGGTGAACAAATAGCATCTGGCCTGCACAATGCCTGATAGACTATTAGATTCAACTACACACTCCAACATTTCAAAAACGGAATGCAAATCAATGGCTGTAGTCCCACCGCTGATGATGGAGTACAGTCTAGTTCAGTCCAGTACAGTCTAGTATAGTCCAGTCCAGTCTAGTACAGTCTAGTCTAGTCCAGTCCAGTAGTCTAGTCCAGTACAGTCTAGTCCAGTACAGTCTAGTCCAGTCTAGTCCAGTCTAGTCCAGTACAGTCTAGTCCAGTACAGTCTAGTCTAGTACAGTCTAGTCCAGTACAGTCTAGTCCAGTAGTCTAGTCCAGTACAGTCTAGTCCAGTAGTCTAGTCCAGTACAGTCTAGTCCAGTACAGTCTAGTCCAGTACAGTCTAGTCCAGTAGTCTAGTCCAGTACAGTCTAGTCCAGTACAGTCTAGTCCAGTAGTCTAGTCCAGTAAGTCTAGTCCAGTACAGTCTAGTCCAGTACATCTGTCCAGTAGTCTAGTCCAGTACAGTCCTAGTCCAGTAGTCTAGTCCAGTACAGTCTAGTCCAGTACAGTCTAGTCCAGTAGTCTAGTAGTCTAGTCCAGTAGTCTAGTCCAGTCTAGTCCAGTCTAGTCCAGTAGTCTAGTCCGGTACAGTCTAGTCCAGTACAGTCTAGTCCAGTAGTCTAGTCCAGTAGTCTAGTCCAGTAGTCTAGTCCAGTATATAGTGGAGGTGACAGATGCCCTGATGAAGATAAGGCAATGTCATCATGTTCTGTTGTCATTACGAGCAGTCAGTCAGACATACCGTGAGGACAGAGAGGATGTCCTGGATGGGCAGCTCAGCCCTCAGCCTCTCCTTGAACATCCTGACTGTCTGGTGCTTCAGGTAGTAGTAGGAGGAGATACGACCGTACGTCAGGGGCTCAATTGTGCAATCATCCTGGAGGGAGGGAGACAGTAGGAGAGGAGACATGGAGGAGGAGAGGAGAGGAAACAGGGAGGAAAGGAGGAGAGGAGACAGGGAGGAGGAGAGGAGAGGAAACAGGGAGGAAAAGAGGAGAGGAGACATGGAGGAAGACGGGAGGAGAGAAGACAGGAGGGAAGACATGGTGAACCGTACTGATTCATGTTAAATCTATCAACACAAACCACAATGGTTCCCTCTGTATGTACCTGTGTGCTTTATAACTTCACACTGCCTGACTACTACAGGCAAATCAATTAAAATGAATACATGTGCACAGACATACAGGTCATACACACACAAACACAATTACACACACAAATGCACACACTCCCTTACCTCTCCTATCTCCATACAGTAGGAACACTCCAGGTCTCGGAGACTCCTCTCCACCAGGTTGGACAGGTACTTGTTAACGGTCTCGTGGCTGATGTCATCCAGGCTGTAGTAACTGGACAACACACACAACAACCAGGTTAGACCTACTGTACATGTAACAGAAACTTGGGGAGACAGATTATAACATTTAGGAAACAGACAAAAAGAAAGCAGCAGTTACGTTTATAAAAGATCCTAGGCTATTTAATAGAGGAAATTGAAACGTTATATCATTTTCATATCTAGTTGCCGACTATTACTCCCAAATCAAGTGACTTCTGATAGGTCCAAAACACCACATGAGCAAGGACAATCCTTTAAAAGTCCCTAAAAAGGAGTCCATGTTTAAGGTAACAGCTGACATTCATTCAATGCTTTTCTACCTCTCCCTGCACCCTAATAAACCATCTGTAGCCGCTGCAAAGTTATGCTAAAACAGATAAATACTATTGGACATGTTTAAGATGTGGCCACTGCCAGTAAAAACTCAGGGGTATTAAAGGAGTCTATGGGGAGTCTGTAATATATGTACGTTTTTACTGCTTATTGATTTACTCATAACCCTGCGCTGACCATAGTAACAACTCCAATGCTCCCCACACTAACACTGATACACTTCATCTATGCAGACATAACATATATCATCAGCACACACACACACACACACACACAGTATATTCTCTAGCTAGCACATACAAATCAATACACAGAATAAACGGCACACATCGATCAAAAGCCACTGCATCATAAGCATCAATAATACCACAGTATAGGCCTGTTTGTTTTCTCTGGGGTTGTTGTAGGGGTAAAACTGGGGTAACATATTATTATTAAGAGCCTTGCCCTTGGACCATGCCAGCCCACAGACTGGAACAAACAAAACACCCTCTTATCACAAAATGATTCCCAGATTTTGGGCCATACAGTATTTGCTGAGCTAAGACAACGCACAGCCAAAATGGCTTCCATGCGTGGCTCAGCGGCTCTAATGGGTAAGAGTTACCACATGAGACAAGGACATAAGTGCACACAACTATGTGCTTCATTAACTTCTAATGTCAAATAACATTTGAGTGTGTGTGTATTCGGGTGTATGTGTGTGTGTGTTTGGATGTCTGTGTGTGTATGTGTATGTGAATGTGTTTGTGTTTGGGTGTATGTGTGTGCGTGTTTGGGTGTATGTGTGTGCGTGTTTGGGTGTATGTGTGTGCGTGTTTGGGTGTAAGTGTTGCTGAGTTGGGTATGTGTGCGCGTGTTTGGTGTAGTGTGGCGTGTTTGGGTGTAGTTGACCGTGTTTGGGTGTATGTGCGCGTGTTGGGTTATTGTGCGGTGTTGGGTGTATGTCGTCGGTTTGGTGTGTAAGTGTGCGCGTGTTTGGGTGTATGTGTGCGCGTGTTTGGGTGTAGTGTGTGCGTGTTTGGGTGTATGTGTGTGCGTGTATGTGTGTGCGTGTTTGGGTGTATGTGTGTGCGTGTTTGGGGTATGTGTGTGCGTGTTTGGGTATGTGTGTGTGTGGGGAAAGTATTCAGACACCTTGACTTTTTCCACATTTTGTTACATTACAGCCTTATTCTAAAATATATTAAATTGTTTGTTTTCCTCAATCTACACACAACACCCCATAATGACAAAGCAAAAACAGGTTTTTAGAAATGTTTCCTAATTTATTAAAATTTAAAAAATAACATTTACATAAGTATTCAGACCCTTTACTAAGTACTTTCTTGAAGCACCTTTGGCAGCGATTACAGCATCAAGTCTTCTTGGGTATGACGCTACAAGCTTGGCACACCTGTATTTGGGGAGTTTCTCCCATTCTTCTCTGCAGATCCTCTCAAGCTCTGTCAGGTTGGATGGGGAGCGTTGCTGCACATCTCTCCAGAGATGTTTGATCGGGTTCAAGTCCGGGCTCTGGCTGTGCCACTCAAGGACATTCAGAGACTTGTACCGAAGCCACTCATGCGTTGTCTTGGCTGTGAGCTTAGGGTTGTTGTCCTGATGGAAGGTGAACCTTCGCCCCAGTCTGTGGTCCTCAGCGCTCTGGAGCAGGTTTTCTGTACTTTGCTCCGTTCATCTTTTCCTCGATCCTGACTAGTCTCCCAGTCCCCTGCTGCTGAAAAACGTGACACGCTTTGCATTCAGGCCAAAGAGTTCAATCTTGGTTTCATCAGACCAGAGAATCTTGTTTCTCATAGTCTGAGAGTCTTCACATGCCTTTTGGCAAACTCCAAGTGGGCTGTCATGTGCCTTTTACTGAGGAGTGGCTTCCACCTGGCCACTCTACCATAAAGGCCTGATTGGTGGAGTGCTGCAAAGATGGTTGTCCTTCTGGAAGGTTCTCCCATCTCCACAGAGGAACTCTAGAGCTCTGTCAGAGTGACCATCGGGTTCTTGGTCACCTCCCTGACCAAGGCCCTTCTCCCCCGATTGCTCAGTTTGGCCGGGCGGCCAGCTCTAGGAAGAGTCTTGGTGGTTCCAAACTTCTTCCATTTAAGAATGATGGAGGCCACTGTGTTCTTGGGGACCTTCATTGCTGCAGACATTTTTTGGTACCCTTCCCCAGATCTGTGCCTCGACACAATCCTGTCTCGGAGCTCTACGGACAATTACTTCGACGTCATGGCTTGGTTTTTGCTCCGACATGCACTGTCAACTTTGGGACATTATATAGACAGGTGTGTGCCTTTTTTACCACAGGTGGACTCCAATCAAGTTGTAGAAACATCTCAAGGATGATCAATGGAAACAGGATGAACCTGAGCTCAATTGCGAGTGTCATAGCAAAGGGTCCTAATACTAAAAACCTGTTTTCACTTTGTCATTATGAGGTATTGTGTGTAGATTGCTGAGGATTTCTATTTATTTAATCCATTTTAGAATAAGATTGTAACATAACAGAATGTGGAAAAAGTCAAGGGGTCTGAGTCCTTTCCGAAGGCACTGTATGTGTGAGTGTATGTATGTGTGTGTGTTTGGGTGTATAAAGCTTTAACGTTAGCGGTATGAAAGATGTTATATGATATAAGGTGGTTATACAGCATGCAGAGGAGTTCAAGCTATTATAGGTCATCTGCAGAGGAGAGGAAATTGAGAAATAATATGAGAGAGAATGAAACAGAGGGGGAGAGAGAGAGATAGAGATAGACGGAGAGAGAGATAGAGATAGACAGAGAGAGAGATAGAGCTAGACAGAGAGAGAGAGAGAGAGGGGAGAGAGAAGATGAGCTTGTGCAAGAGATGGAGGATGAATACCAATTGGTCAGTTAACAGGTAGAAGGATGCTTAATGAAGGTAATTTAACAGTTGCCTCCATATTGATCTATAATAATGTATGTGTGTATGTATGTAAACAAGGATCCACTCACTCTGACATAGCCAACTCCTCTCATTACATTACTCAGCATAACAATCCTCCCATGATTATCATTCACAATCATATGTTGTTCTGTTGAAAACCAGAGGCCATTGGAAAAGAACGCAGCATCGAAATGGAAACAGCAGTTGCAGAGCGGCAGCCATATTTAATGTGGGTTTAATGTTAAGTATGGATGTCATTGTTATCACTCCACATGTCAACACAGCCCAGCAGCCAATGCATTTATTACTGACCACATTTCACAGCTCTTTACTGGGGTGTGAGAGACTGTGTGTGTGTGAGAGAGAGAGCGTTATGGGCTGTCTGATTAAGTCATGTCCATTAACATCATCACCATTAGGGTACTGATGCTGCACAAATACATTTATAGTTTGTGTGTTTGTGTGTGTAGCAGTGCCGGATACAAGCCACCCCAGTCAATCATGTCTCCATGAGTAATGGCCGGTGACAAGGTGACCGTCTCCAGGGCTTGCAGGACAGATCTGATGGCCAATTGGCCATGTATAAAATACAGCTGTGACAATGTGCTGTTGGGTGGTACACATATCTAACCCATAAATCACCTGATATTACCGATACTAAGCCAACTTTATCAAAAAAATAAGACCGGCTGAAAGGATATGTAGAGCTTGAAGTATAACTGAATGGTGCTAAAAATGTACGTTAATCTTTAAACCAAAAGTGTGTTTTACCATTCAACTTACATAACACAATATGTGTGTGTGTGTGTACGTATATGTTGGGGCTGGGAGACCTGGGTCAGGCCTTAGTGGTAAATGTGGGCTGACAGCCGTGTAAATGCCAGCAGTCTGAGATTCTTCAAATAGCCAACCTTTGCCTTGATGACAGCTTTGCACACTCTTGGCATTCTCTCAACCAGCTTCATGAGGTAGTCACCTGGCATGCATTTCAATTAACAGCTGTGCCTTCTTAAAAGTTAATCTGTGGAATTCCTTTCCTTCTTAATGCGTTTGAGACAATCAGCTGTGTTGTGACAAGGTAGGGGTGGTTATACAGAAGATAGCCCTATTTGGTAAAAGACCAAGTCCATATTATGGCAAGAACAGCTCAAATAAGCAAAGAGAAACGACAGTCCATCATTACTTTTAAGACATGAAGGTCAGTCAATACGGAACAATTCAAGAACTTTGAAAGTTTCTTCAAGTGCAGTCGCAAAACCCATCAAGCCCTATGATGAAACTGGCTCTCATGAGGACTGCCA